CTCAAAGCTTCAAAAGAGTTTTTATCATTCAATGAGCTCAAAACCTTACATTAGCCATCTATTTAAAGAGTAAAATAGAACTATCTAGAGCATGAAGGTAAGCTAGTCCTTAGGCTTAACAATAGCTAAGATGTTCCTACATCACAAGATCAGCTCGCATAGCCGCTAATACATATGAAAAAAAAGTTTTTAAGGGCAAGCAAAGAAACGGTGGTTGTAAAATGAGAATAGTGAAAAGTCCCCCACTATTGTATTACTGCTTGTATATATACATCTCATGCAGAGCTACCTCCAGCTACTACTATGTCAAGCAAGGCAAATAACTAAGAAATTAACGAAAAGTATACTCTCTTCAATAGCATGTGTAAATAATCATTACTATATTAACCATCAGAATTGAGCTATATCATAATTTAGTAATACGTACCTTTTCATCGGGGAGAACATAATATTGTAGTTTCAAAATAGGATGAAAATGTTTTTCGGGTCCCAATCCATCCAAGCGTAGATAATTATTATCTCCTTCAATAGGGCGATTCCTCTGCATGTAGACACTTGATCATCAACTTTTCCCTTTGGTCTAAGAGATTGACTTCTTAGACTTATTTAAATCTTATGATTTACATCCACCATAACGAGTTAATATAAAATAATGTTCATTAATTACAGTTGAGAATTTGGAACAAGGCAATAATCACAATCATGGGGTTTCATGAGAGTTTATACAGAGAGAGAAAGAGAGACTATAGGAGCTAGGTTTGTAGGCGATCGAGTGTGAACTAAGTGTTCTTATTGGCATCTAAGCACTTATCTAAGAACAACTAGTGAGTCGAACATGATTGAACTAGATTGAATTGAGGCATACCGAAGGATATTAATTTGATCCTCCGATCCTTACTACAAGTTATATATATCAAGCCCTATATATATATATATATGTAGTCGGTCTCCCCTTGAAATTGGCCAACAAGGGAATTACTTTAATGAAGGTACGTCTTGAATTGTGATGAGGATCAGTCGAGGGGGTGGACGACAAAAGTGGCAGCTATAGAGCAGTCTAAATATGAAGGTCTTTAATGCATGCTTTTGTTTACATAATGTATGTTGAATAAATATATATTAATACAGCTTAATTCAGAAGGTAAACCGTCCCATCTATTAATTAGTACTGTAATTAAAATATGCAAGTGGCATATATATGTGGAGAAGGTAGAATAATTAAGCTTTTAATAAACTTTAGTTACATATTAATGATTTTTAGAAACCATGCGCTCGACCATGACGAGCCTCTCTCATTTAACCACTATATATTATCTGTAGTTAATTAATATATAATTAGCAATGTATATAAAAAAGTACATATATGCATGCAATAATGATTAAGAGCCTCAGATTAAGACCTATATAAATATAAGCTGTGCATGGATGATCATTCTTTGTAGTTGTCTTTTCAATACTTGTCGATCCAGCTAGCTAGCTAGAAGAGTTAGAGATGGAACGCTGTACTATCTTCTTCGTCGCCATTCTTTCCATGTCGACTCTTTGCAGTTCAGCCGCTCAAGCTGCGGTGGTGGAGCACACTTTTAACGTAATTTTAATGATTTTTTTCCCACTCTTTTCTCGTTTTCTTCAACTATTTTTCATCATGACTCGTCATTGCTTACAGCTTCATCAACGATACGTGCCCATGACGGCGACACGATAGTCGTTCACTTGGTCAACCAATCCCCTTACAACATCACAGTCCATTGGTATTCCATTTCCATATGTAAATTACATTTGCAACAAATTAAGTGAAAGTTTTTATATAAATTAATTGAAATATTGCCGTCAGGCACGGGATATTTCAGGTGATGAGTGGGTGGGCCGATGGGCCGGGCTACATAACCCAATGCCCAATAGCAGCCGGGAATAAGTACAGTTACAGGTTCAATGTAGTCGGGCAAGAAGGCACGCTTTGGTGGCACGCGCGCATCTCTTTCCTTCGAGCCACTGTTTATGGCGCCCTCATTATTAAACCAGACAGGGCACCAAAGCCTACCCTTTCCCCGAGCCCTACAAGGAAGTGCCAATCATTCTTGGTCAGTAATTAATTAATTTTTATTAATTAATGTTGATTTGATAGTTATAATATCGATCGATTGCAGGAGAGTGGTGGGATGCGAATGTAGTGGATGTGGAGAATGAGGCCCTCGCCGGCGGCGGTGTTCCCAATATTTCCGATGCTTTCACCATCAATGGAAGGCCCGGTCATCTATATCCCTGTTCTCAGCAGAGTATGTTTCGATATCATCCTCATTAAACCTCCTTCGTACTAGATAGCTTATTTCAAATTAATTACATTGATTCAATCAAACACATGAATAAAGAGATGAATTGGAAAATATCAATCTTTCTAAAAACTTTTTTTTTTCTTTTCTTAATTGATAGACACGTATAAGGTGGAGTTGGAGCAGGGAAAACTATACCTCTTCCGCCTCATCAACGCCGCCCTCAGCCACCAGTTCTTCATCAGAGCTGCCGGTCACTCCTTCACCGTTGTAGCCGTCGATGCATCCTACACTACCCCACACTCCGCCGGAGTTATCCTCCTCGCTCCCGGCCAAACTTAGGATTACTTCTCCTCGCCGACGCCGTTCCGGCCGGAGACTACTACCTCGCCGCCCGCCCTTTCATCAGCACCCCTCCCTCCTCCGCCTCCTTCATCTTCAACAACTCCACCACCACAGCTCTCCTCCATTATTCAACCACCACGTCTTCGCCGCCGATGATGCCATCCCTCCCAGCATTCAATGACATCCCCACCGCCTACGGGTTCTACACGAATCTCACCGGGCTAATCGGGCTTGGCCGGCCCACCGTTCGTCTTGAAGTAGATTAGAACTTGTTTGTTACATTTGGCCTCGGGCTGGTCCCTTGCGGCCCAGACCGGCCCATGTGCCTGGCTGCCAGTATGAACAACATTTCGTTTCAGTTACCCGAAAAGACGTCTCTTTTGGAGGCGAGATTTGACCGCGGCGGCAGCGGCGGCGTCTATACGGAGGACTTTCCTGCGCGGCCGACGGTGGAATTTGATTTCACGAACGTGAAAGAGAGATTGAATCCTTCGGTTTTAGTGGTGAAGAAAGGAACGAAGGTGAAGAGGGTAAGGTACAACGCGACGGTGGAGGTGATATTGCAGAACACGGCGGTTTTGGGGACGGAGAGCCACCCCATTCATCTTCATGGTTTTAATTTCTTCGTCCTCGCGCAGGGGATTGGGAACTTCAACGCCTCCGCCGCGGCGCCGACCTACAATCTTCTCAATCCCCTAGTCCGCTTCCTCCCCACACTTTTATTTTTTCTCTTTCAATGTCTTCAAACCTATCACAGCATTAAATTTGATTCCACCAATTTATTATGCAGGTGAGAAACACAGTTGCGATTCCAGCTGGAGGGTGGGCGGTCATTAGATTCATAGGGAATAATCCAGGTACATAATTAATTTTATTAATATTAATATAAACATTATTCATGATTAATTAATTAGTAAAATGTCGATTGTAATTATGGGATTAATTAAGCAGGGATGTGGCTCATGCATTGCCACTTAGACATCCACCTGTCTTTGGGGATGGCGATGGCTTTTGAAGTTAACGACGGTCCTTCGCCGCCGAAGAGTCTTCCTCCGCCGCCGCCTGACTTGCCTAGTTGTTGAAGTGATTTCAAGAGAGAGAGAGAGAGAGGGGAGAGAGAAAATGGGAAGGTAAATTAAGTTTTGTTTAATTAAATGAAAGCATGTTATTATGTACGCCAAAGGCAACAATAATTGATTTTTTTTATGAAAATAAATTTTATGTATTTTCTTTCATGGATTGTCCTGTTTCATTAAGATCATTAGTCCCATCAATTGAAAATCAATAAATGCTTACATAACCTTTCATGATATTTAATATTAGTAGTGTAAGTAATAATTCCGTACTTCCTTGAAGCGATATGTATTTTGCAGTTTCAAAATATTATATTCAAAATAAAATTGTTGTCACATATAAATCTCATTGCAAACAAAAGGAGGAATAAATTGATAGTTAATTACAGTTCAAAATTTTATTTAGAAATAAAACGAGCTTTAAATTGTGTAAGAGTATCACCAAGAAGATTGCTTCATGAAAACAACTCTAAAAAAGTCCAACCTTAGTATAAAACGATCAACAAGTGGTTGACCAAGATTGTAATAGATCATAGTTGCTGAATTCAATTTTATTGGGACACTTATGCCTTTCTAACAACAACCGCTATGAAATGATGGACGCAAACACACCCACATATTGATTCCAAACATCAATATATTAAGCTAAAAAAAAGGCATAGATCATAGATGTTTAATCATCATTTGACCATTAATTATCATTTGACCATTTCTTCTTGGATCATCACCATGGAACTGTCATATATTAATGTATCACAAATGGTGTTTCTTCTCAAATGTCTTAGTAGCCCTTGGCTTTGATTGGTTGATCTAGCTATTTAGAGATAAATTAGTCATCCAATTATTTTGCAATGACAAATATATAAATTTTTATTAATTGAAAAAATGAATATTCTAGAACATTTTGCATACAAAAAATAAATTGATAGACAATAATAAGTTGTATGGTTGGCCCTTATTATTCATAAGCATAAGCCTTTACGTTGCAATATATCGTATTTAATCATGATTCATGCCATGCCAAACTTTGAGCCTAAATTAAGTGGGATCATATATAGTCAAAAGTTAAATCTGTTCAAACTAAAGTGCTCCGTATGTGTCTTTCATACCAACCTAGCCTCTTAATGGAATATATATATAGATATTTATATGATCTTAGGCCATGACTTTTGGTAATGGTAAAAAGTTTATATATATTTAAGAGGATCAATGGCCAATATGAGGTGCAAAATTCTCAGTCGACGTCTGTTCAGTCATAACGTTTATATAGCCCAGCTTGAGGGAGATCAATGTTGAAGAAAATTAAAACCATTATAAGATCTTCATAAAAATTCATACAAATAATAAATTTACATACGACGTACACAAAATCCCTCTGTCTAACACTTTTGCATCCATGCTTGTTAAGTATTTCTATAATAGAAATGATATAAATTTCATTGCCGCAAGTAGAGAAACTAATACAAAAAATAAATCCAATGACGTTTACTGACTGTTGAAGTTGTGATCATTAAGCTCAAGGAGCAGGAGAAGGGGCAGCGTCCCCGGAAACTGGGCTGACTGAGCCGGAGCTCACGAGCTCCACCATGGACCGGTGAGTGTTGGATCGACGGGTCTCGCATAAGTCGGGAAGGAAAACACCTGAACAAAAGAAAAGGAGGCTCGTCATTTACGATTCTAAACAATTAGTATACATAGTATATTTAATAGGGTTTAGGCTTTTGTGATCAACACGGGAAGAATATATCAAACTTGCAGTAGCGAGTTTCAAACATTGAATTAAAAAAAAAAATAAAAAAAAAATTGAAGTTGGCTTCGATCGGAATTAGATTCGAATTCTGTCTCTGTTTGCTTATTTATAAAAATCTATCACAGTATGCTACATAATAAGACAATGGAAAATACAAAACAGACACTGAATGATTAAATGACATTTTTCAGAAATTAGTAATTAGCCAGTCTTTTATTAATCATTAAATATACTAAAAAGCTAATTAGTAGCTTTGATTTATAGTATTTTATATTTTACGCGTTTAAATCATATTGCAAAATCAATAATTCATTAGGAATTAAAGAGTAAGGCCTCCAAAAATAAAATAAATTCTTATTTGAATTTTATCATAAAATAAATAAATCCATAGTAAAATATACAAAAAATAAAAAACCAAAATCCGCATAAGAAAATTTTTAGCATATATTACTGTCAATAAAATATCATAATCACTATTTCCGCCAACGCTGCCTAAAAAGAAAATGAAAAGCCCTCTTAAAAAAGACAAAAACCACAAATCAAATGGTTTAATATTGAATTACCTTCCCCGGCGGCAAGATTGAAATAGAGATCGATCACATTCGGGCAACTCTGATAACACGCCGGCGAGCAAAGCTTAGCAGTAAATTGAGAATCAAGAAGAGAGTCGGAAGAGATTCCGATGGCCATTCGATCCACACCGCAAGCCTTCACACACTCATCAGTCTCAATCCACCCTGAAACTCTTTCGACCTCCACCTCGGAAGTCTTGCAATAATACTCGGTCGTCGATTCGCCGCTCTTTCTATACCTCTCGAGCAGGCATCGTTTACCCGTGGAAGATATCGACAAGGAGCAGAGATTTTGGGGCAATTTCTCACAGATCACATCAGCAGCTGCGCATCAATTTTGTAAATCAATAAATTAAGAAATACAAGTTTAGGGTTTGTGATGAGAATTGAAATAGCAGTTCGTATGAATGCGATACCTACCGAGAGAGGAAGTTGGGAGGAGAAGGGTGAGAGAGAGGAGAAGAGCTATCGGGATTATGTAAGATGCCATTGCTGTTTCCTCTTCTTCTTTCTTCTAATTTGAGGTTTTATGGCTGCCTATTTGTCTTTGGGTAATTAGAAGAAGGTTAGGGGGGTTTATATAGAGGATTTTAGTAAGTCTCATTGTACATGTTTTGACTCAAAAGTAGGAGCTTTTGACAGTTGCCGTCTCATACAAGTTTGTTGAATGAATCATTAATGTTCTTTACAAAATTATAACTTATGCGATACATTAAGACCCTGTTAAACTTGATTAATAATAATAAAAAAAAAAACATTTTATATGACAGGCTATATGTCATTGATCGAAATTCTACATTTCTTTTTCATGTTCATCTGAATGAGTCAAAACATGATTTCTTAAAAAAAATTATTAATATTAAAGTAAACAGGTAAATAATGCGCCGATATTGACTAATATAGAGGTTCAATTCCTTAAAGACGGCCATCTGGCATCTCATCATTTACTCACATTTATTAATTATATAAATAAAAAGAGATTAGATGTTGACGAGCTAATAGGAATCGTAATAGAGTTGGTCGATGGGCAAAATGGGGCTTTAAGGACGCGTCTCCAATTTGGAACTTTTAAAACCCGGTCTAAAGTCTAAACAAATATTTCATTTAAATGAAAAAAATTTTATCAACAAAAAATGAATTTCAGAATTAATAGATTTATTTTAAGATTAATGTACCATAATATTTGATCAACTAGTCATTATTTTTCTCATTTCAAAATAAATAAAGCAACTTAAAAATTTATTCTCATCAAATTTTAGTTGTGATCTTTTCACCTAATTCATCTTCTTAAAAAAAAAAAAAAATTTAGAGATTAACATAATATATGAGCAATTCATAAAAGTTTCTATTACAATAATCTTAAAGTAAATCTACAATCTATCAAAATTAAATTTGTAGCGAAATATTCTGATCAGGAATAATTTTAATAATTAGATTAGAAGAAAAAGAGGAAGAATTGGGGTTCACTTCTTAAATTCTAGAAGATTTGAATCGTTTAAAAGAAAGCAAACAGAATTACAACGATATTTCTCCGCATCTTCCTTAGTGCTTTCCCCGTCCGAATTTAATTACGGGAATATTGACCACCAAAAAACAAAATCATGATTGCCATTACTTTGGAGAAGTTGAATTAAGAAAATAAAAAAGCGACCATTTTTTATAATTTATATCCGATATTCACCTTCAAAATTAAATCAATGGAACTCATTAATCATAGAAAACCAATGCTCATAATGTACCATAATTGCTAATTCAAAATTTATCGACTTTTGACGTGTTTAAGTTAATTAACGTTAACATCTAACTAATTAATTTGCACTTAGATACATTATTCGGCTGTTTTAACATCTAACTAAATAAAAGGGGTAGCATTTATTTGAGCCGAAGTAAGAAAGGGAGGAAGGGGAAGGAAATGAGAGCTGCTGGTTGATAATTTCAGCTAATGAATAAAAAGGAAAAGGAAAAAGAAAAGAATGAGAAAGAAATGGGATAAGAAGAAAAATTTGAAGCATATGTTTGGTTGATAATTTGATTTATTTATTATTAACTTTCTTACAATTATGGTACATTTATTGTAAGATGCTTAGAAAGACTAATTTTCTCCATAGAAAATCAAAATGTTGCTAGCCAAATTCATATGCAAGCATTTATTTAATTGTTGTTTGGCAAAATGACAGAATTTAAACCTAGAATCATTATGGAATTAATAAAAATTAACTTGATAGAAATTTATGTATTTATTAATCATCTTTTATATGGAAGTATGTATGATATTATAACAATCTTTTTTTCAGAAGGACAGATCATATTTATTGCATTCTAGAACATTTGCGGCAATAGAAAAATAGCTTTGAAACCTCCAAAATATATTTCTCATATCCAACCAAAGGTCCAAACTTGCAAAATTCAAGCCCCCCTTTATGTGGGAGAGAAATTATTATGTGCGAAGTCTAAACATAAAGCTACATCCATATTCCAATCAAATGAATAGCTTTATATTGGTGTGTATTAACTAGTACATGATGTGTACTATATAGTACATAATTAGTACACACTAATACACAATTAATTCACATCAATACACAACTAGAATACACCAATACACAACTATTACATAATTAGTATTATAGTATATAGTGTGTACTAGCTAATACATAAAATACATAGTATATAATAGCCACACATTATCATTTAATTGGAGTTTGAACATAGCTCTACATTTGAACTCCGCATATCCCCTAAAAAAAACATTTGAACTCCACATATAATAATTTCTTCATGCGGTAAGAAGAGATTTATTTATAAATTTTGAGAGTACCATGTCCTGTAAATATGAAGAATATTTAAAGCAAATTCAAAGAGCTCTATCAAACAACCCATATTAATTTATTTGATCATAAAACGATCATCAAGCATTTAAATATCTTTTAATAATGTCAAAATTAAACGATTTTAATCTCGTTGGATTCATCTCATTGAGATGGTCAATTTAACCATAACAAATATTATATTTAAATATCATTTAATCATTCAATTTATACTTTGAACCTTCTAAATGCACTTCAGCCACTTGATTTGAACTTATTTGAACTTAAATTATTAAACAATTTTAATCTCGAAGTTGGATTCATCTCATTGAGATGGTCAATTTAACCATACAAATATTATATTTAAATATCATTTAATCATTCAATTTATACTTTGAACCTTCTAAATGCACTTCAGCCACTTGATTTGAACTTATTTGAACTTAAATTGGATTAATTTTTATGTTGTTTGGTTCATTTTTTAAGACATTCAATTTAACTATAAATTTACTAAATTTAGAGTTTGAATGATCCCAAATTTAATTTTAAAAGCTTCCAACTTAAATATGCCTCAAGATTTTCAAGCTCAATCAATACAATTTTTGGTGACATATCAATATTATTTTCTAATACTTCTTTATACCAAATCTAAGCATTTCTTATAAAACAGTTATTTAAAGCTTCCACCCTATTCCACTACAAGTATACTTGGGTCTAGATATTCCAAGTCATGAAAAATTAGTAAATATTCAAATAACTTTTAAATTCCTAACATAACAATATATGAAACAAATAAGTATTAGAAAATCTGTGATTTTATAGGAAAGAATATTTATTAATATTTTAAATCATGTATATTTTGCTTGAAATATTATATATTTTTTGATAATTATTATATGAAAGGTTAATATTGGATGGTTAACTAATACTTAAAATTAATTCTGATTACTCGTCTATAATAGTATAAGTAAAACTATTATTGCATTATTAAAATACTATATAAATTATGTTGCAAGTTATACTAGGAAGCTTGTGGAACTATGTTTGTAGAATTTTCTTTTTATTTTTTATTTTTGTAGAAACTAGATTTATAAATTACTGCACAGGTTTATTTATTGAATGGGGTTGGAAAAATAATCAAATCTTATCAAATTAATTATATGCTTAATATTACATAATGAATTAAGAAAGGCAATAAGATAGTATGATCTCAGATATATTTTTTTAAAAAATATTTGGATGGCGAGAATTGTTGAAAAATAAGAATATTTATAATAAAGAATGAAAAGAAATTTAATAGCTTCTAATATTAATATTATTGAAGATATCATCAGTCAAATTTCTATTTTGTAAGTGAAATAGTTAACTTGAATAATGGCATAATGCCCAATGAAGAAGCAATTATCTTATAAATCTTTGAAATTATTCATCCCTCTCACATATTTTGCAAGGTACAAATAAAAAATGACGACATAAAAACAATATTTGGTCCCAGAAATTTCTCTAAATTAGATTTCATTTAATTAACAAAATGAAGTGTAATTTGTATGCATATATAGCATATGGGCTTAAACAGGCCTCATTGAGCAGCAATGAAATCACCTCTTAAGGTGTCATTTAAAATAAATTTCTTACTACTTTTTAAAGAAGCCTTTTAGTACATTTATTTTTTACTAAAAAGCTAATTTAAGTAATAAAAAAACTATCCCAAATGAACCTTAAGTCCACAAAATGTATGACAAGCGTGCCTTAATGGATGACCCATTTGATACCCCCTAGGCAAGCTGAAACAAGTTTTAAGTTTTATTTAAGACTATTTTTTTACTGCTTATTTTTATACTAAAAATTTACTTTAAAAAATAATAAAAAACTATCCCAAACAAAAACAAAACCTTAAACAAATCCAATCTATTCTTATTACTTTAAAGTCATAATTATTTTAACACCAACATGTATCCACACAAGTATATAGTCAAATAAAACTGACGTAAAAAATAAAAGATTTTTGATGTTCAATTTGAACAAAGAGGTTAGATTAAGTCTTAGGGGCCTACATCACATCACATCACATAGAACAAAATAAATATTGACCTGTTTTGCTTCGCTTTAGGATTTAGGGATAAGCTGCAACAGCTTTAGGCGATGGAAATTAGCTTTATTAGCTTCTTTTGCCTATACAAACTAAGGGCAGCCAGATCAACTATGGATGATTAATGAAATTGAAAGTGCAAAGCCAACAATATATTTAAGGTTAGAAACTTTGATGAGGCAGTTCATAATTGAAACCGCAACAGTCGGTCTAAGATTGAATTTATAACCTGTCAGTGATTGATCTATGTTCTTCATTCACATTACCACAACGCTCTCTTCTTAACTGCAAAACAGAAAAGCAATCAAACAGACAATTTTAGACTGCAACCTAATCAATGTAAACTCCAATATCAAATATTATCTTCCAATAGAGTAAAGGATTTAGAAATTCAAAATAATGATAAGTATTAGAATGTCTATTATGGATACCCTTAATTTAAACAATCATAAAGAACAAAAAAGTCTCAAATATCCCGAAAATAATTTATTTGCCAAAAAAAAAAAAAAAAAGGCCATCTTTGACATATATCATACATCATGACCAACAATATTGTAATTTGCTTTCATGGTCTTCGGCTAAATCCTTCTCTAAAACCTGATAAACCCATAGGGTGTAAATAAGATAAAGAACTAACAATGACTTACCGGGACTAGTAATCTTGATTCATCCTGCTACTTTCTTTCTACAGGAGTCACGCCGTCAGAACTTCCTAAACGCCAAAATTTGATTAGAGAACATATTTAGCATACTTGAGTAATAAAAGCAATAGGAAAACATTAGAATAGCCGATTAGTTCAAGAATTGTTGTGTAACCTTGCAATCCGATACACTCAGCGCTTGCACCTGCGGTTGCTGATATAGAGTAATCAGAAGTATTTAAATAACCCTCACATTCCTCAGCCCTGTATTTTCATGGTGAAAGCAATTTAGTCTATACGACGACGGCAGAGTTAGAGAATAAAGAGAGAGAGAGAGAGAGAGCTTTACCCAGCAAGGAAGCAAGTGTTCTCAGTATGGCAACCAGAAAGGCCTTCGTTCTGATCACCAATATCAACTAAAAGCCCGGATAAGAAATCCCCATCAAAAATTTCAAAATCAGGTAGGTCAAAATCAAGACCAACAGATGTTTCAGCATCAGAAGGAGAAGTAGAATTATCAACTGCGAAAGGTTTCTCCATGCTCTCGAAAGCATCAGCCTTGTCAAAATCAAGTCTGCTTTTAACATGCTCTCTTTTTCCAAGCTTAGTTGCGCATGTTTTAATAGGAGAACAGGTGACCTGATAGCTCCTTTCGACAGCATAGTAACCTTTGTGTTTCAGAGGGCTGATAATGATTGTTTCGGAAGATATCAAAGAACAGCTAGATGAGGTGACATTAGGGAAGCAATTATTATCAGCAGCATTTAAAACTGAGTTCTCCAATGGAGAAAGAGAATTTTCCATCTGAGAGGTGAATGCCTGAGGCGGAGTCTTAGGAGAAGAACCATTTGGTTGAAACCCCTCTGGATGCCTGAACAATTTCTTAGCAACAGAAGAACCTTGAACTGAAGGCTGAATGGCTGAATTATCATCAGACGCTGACAGAACAACTGGGCGTTTCTCTTTGTTACAGCCAGCAATATTGCTTGTGGAAGTTTCTTGTGAGCATAATCCAACTCCTAAAATAAAAGCATTAAAACTTTTATACAAATGGTTTTCATTGAAGACAATTTGTAAACCAACTTGTGGCAGTTAGAAAATTAGGACAAATACTACCTTTTACAATATTTGGCACACTAGATGACTGAGTGCATAGCCTCTTCGGAGATGGAGGGTCTTTAGCAATAGATTTTGAAGCCTTCCTCTTAGTGGAGGACTGAATATATGTAGGGGTGGAAAACCTAGCTTCACCAGCCTTCGGTGGCAACAAAGGTGATTTTGAATTGTTTCTAATAGGAGGTCCAGGCATCATATTGCCTGCGAGTTGATAGAAAATACAAGAATAAATAGGCAAATTTCAAAGAAAAGGTTAAGTCTGCTGTAATAAAAGAAATATCCGAGTAATACTTCACATTTCTGTACATGTTTAGGTCAGTTTAATACAATAAATTAACTGATGTCCAAATTAATCGTACGACAGAGAATAGAAAGGACATTATTCATAGAAAGGGCATATGAAGGGAAAGAATAACAAGGTGCTATGAACCAAGTTTGGCAACTATGGAAGTTATACAAGCTTCCTTTCTTTTTATCGCTATATTTCACACTAAAAACTAATCTAATATGCTTTATTGGCCCACTAATGTTGGCATTTCCTGGGGAGGAAAAGAGCATACTGCTCTTCTTGAGAGAGAGAGAGAGAGAGAGAGAGAGAGAGAGAGAGGGGGGGGAGCCAAAACTAAACTTCAATAATATTGTTGGCTTGGCCTTAAGCCTATTAAGGCCTCTTTATACATAGAGGCTTAATCGAATAAAATGAACCTAAGAAACATCCTAACTAAAATTGGACCAATATCTAACAATTTACACCTTGATCTAATAAATAAAAAAAAACAACTATCCACAAAAAAAAATCATGTGAATCTTCCCCGCCAATTGCCTTATCTCATCCACCTATTATTTATAAAGGATAGCCAAAGAAAAGGACTCCACCATATGGTTAATAGCTTCTCCTTCTCCTACTTACTCAAGAACTGCTCCGTCAGCTTCTTAAGCCCCATACTGCTAAAGTTCAAGCTCAACTACACCTCCGCTCCACTTGTTTGCAAATAACAGTCCAAGAAATACCTTCCCTTTTAATCCTCCACATCTCCCGATTAGTGAATGAATGCGGCCTCATATCCTTCTCCAATCTCCAAAACATTGAATCAAGCTCTACCATCTTTCGATTTTGAGCCAGTGAGGCACACTCGTTGACCCAGGGGCTGCCTTCCTCGCACAAATCACACACAGCGTCAGATTTGGCCTCGCGTCCACTCCTCACAGCCTGCAATCAACCCGCTGCCCTAACTTGGCCCAATCCCGTGCTATGCAATCTCTGCGCTTGCCTAAACCACGCGCATGAATTGCACGTCCAATGCCCACTTGGCTTTGTTTGCTGCACCTCCCAATCACAACACCAAGCCACTTAATGCCTCCCAATCGCAACACCAAGCCTGACCAAATGAACCCCGCACAAGCTCTGTCGTGCCTTCATTTCTTCAACACAAATAGCCCACCAAGCCACCTCACATGATCAAAATCACGCCTTCCATTCATCCACCTCCCTCTACGCCCGAGCAAATCAATTCAATCTCCTATGTTGATCTGACATCCTACATCCATGCTCCCTTGATTAACTCCACCTTGCTCTAATACCAATTTGCTAAGATTTCTTGGGGAGGAAGAGATTTTCTTGCTCCTCTTGAGAGAGAGAGAGAGAGAGAGAGAGAGAGAGAGGAGGGGAGCAAAAACTAAACTTCAATATTATTGCTTGGCTTGGCCTTAAGCCTATTACAACCTCTCTACATATAGAGGTTTATCAAAATAAAATGAACCTAAGAAACATCCTAACTAAAATTAGACCAATATCTAACAACTTCAATTCTCTAAATAAGGAAGACACTTCAGTAATTTTGAGTCCATAAACTAAAAGCTATTTCACATCAAATAAATTTCATGCTATAACAATCATAGAATATTTCAAATTTTCAAACTAAAAATTGAACAATTCTTTCAAGCTCCTAAACCACCATAATCAAGAGTTCCTAAAATTAATATGAAATAATGAAAATATCATATTTAATGATATCCTAACAAATTGCAGAAAAAACTTATTCATGCTAGGCTACGAGGACAGAAAAGATGATTTGATATACTTTTTTAAGAGTCAAAATCTTTGTAAGAGTGAAAATCAAGTTTATTCAAAGACGATTTAGGCTAACTAGCTCATATTCTACTAGGTCACCAAGTAACAAGCTAATATTAATAATAATATTTCCTTCAAATTTTGTACTTGAAATGTATTTATCCAGTTTTACTTACGATGTTCCACAAAGCACCAAAATAATGTCTAATTCTTATATATAAAATGTATAGGATGTAACAATGTGTATCCCTCTTGTAATAGCTCATTCATAAAAGAGTAGAATTCTTGTGAGTTGCTCTTCCTCTCTCTTCCCTACCCCTCTCTATTTCTTCCAAGAAGGCTCAAGAAAAGTTTCGCTTCCTCAAGAATCTTAACAATATTAAAAAGTAAAAAATAAATTAGAAAAAACTAAGATTTCAAATAAGAAATTTGATAGGATAATAAAAAAACTATTTATATTTAATATAAAATATAGTTTTTAAATTAAACTAAATAATTTATTAGTGATGATAATTATATATCACAAATTGAACAGAATTTTAATTTCAAATAACCACCTTTGGACTTTACTATAAAGATTATTATATGTTTGCTTTGACATGTATATGAATGAAAATAGAGCTTTCTTGAGACTTAGAAGAAACAATGAAATTTTAGAGGGGTTATTATTATTATTATTATTATTATTATTATTATTATTACTTTTTTTGAAAGCAATAAAAGAAAAGGAAAAGAGATTATATAGACTCAAATTTAAAAAGGTTTAAAGAATATCCTTATTGTATAATAAGAGATTAGATGAAATAAAATTTTGAAAAGGCTTAATTGAGTCATTATTGTGACACCATTTAATACTTTTTATTAGATTCATCCCCTCTCCTCTCCTATGTTTGATCTTATATTCTTCTATGGTGATGTCTACTTTGCATTATTACTTTATGCCTCATCATATTCAATCCAAATAAATTTTTCTAGATCAAAACTAAGTACTTTTTCTTAACAATTTAAACTAGATAATGCACGAATCAAACATAAGCATATCTAATGTCATTTGTTATCAAATTATAATAGATTTTTTTACTTAATTATCCATCATCCATTTCTATTTTTAAGTAGATATTTAAAAAACAAAAGTAAGGTATTTTTTACATTAGCTTGTGGGGCTTCAAATAAAAATAAAATATATTTATTCTAAAGCATTTAGTACATTAAGCTTAAAATTGCAAAATAAAGAGCATGCTTTAATACATTTTAGCAGAATTCATGATGAGGTGCATGCCTAACATGGCTAATTGACCCTCTATGCTCTAAGGAAGAGGTGAACACCTCAAGGCTTAAGATTAAGATATTTAAAAAGAAATAGATTAAATATATTCTTAAAACCCAATTAACTATTACAATATCACCACCATCCTCAACTCTTTAATAAGTTATCCTCCATCACATCTCTTCTTGCCAATAATAAGTCAAATTTCTCCTCCCTAAACCTAATTTCTTTTATTTTCTTTGTTTAAGTTTTTTTTTTTTTTTTTTTATTTTTTTAAAATATTTTTAATTAATTTTTTTTTTTTTTTTTTTTTTTTTTTTTTGCATTTTATTAAAATATTTTTAATTAAACTTTAATTTTAGGGTTTTCTATAATGATTAGGGTTAAAAAAAAAAACACGATGGAAATTTTTAAAAAAATGCAATTTGCCAATGATCCATTACTCTATAAAGATATGCTATAACATGATGAATAGCTAACAGATAATCATATAGGATTTTGCTCTTGCTTATATTTCATAATTGCTAATATTCTATTTTAAAAAAGAGAGAAATATATGATTATTTGGGGGATAGATATCTGTATTCTCCAAATTATCAACAGAAGCACACAAAAAAAAAAGGTCCAGTCTCCTTTTAACCCTACTTTAATAAGTAACGTAACTCTTAAAGCAATTTACATAACAAAAGAAAGTGGATTACTTGGATGAGAGGAATTTAGAGGGTTCGGTCCACAAAAGAATGGAACGGTCGGAGAAGGCATGATCTGCGGAGGATTCGTTGCAATAGGCACAGATACGTCTTCCCCGGTCTCAGAATGGTAAACCCGTATCAAATCCTGCATGCCCTTCATTACCGCCTCAACCTTCTGCTTCTCTCGATCCATGGCCAGTCTCTGTGCCCTGAGGCGGATGTACTCGTCAAGTATTCGGTCCAATCCCATCAACCCCTCGGGCACCTGCTCATGTCACCAGTGTCAGAATAACAAGAGAACAGAAGTATTAACGACGAGGTAAAGAAGAAGAGGGGTTCGAGAAATCCTAACCTCATTTCTATGTGTTCTCGGGAGGAGATCGGAGGCCTCAGATCTGAAGGAGGATAGGGTCGAGGAATAGTTGTTGTCGGACAGATAACAGTCGACAATGAAAGCAACCTGCATTGGAGTGATTATTCCTGTGCCCAACTTGTTTTGTTTCTTGGCTCTGCCTTGCTTCGCCATAGCAGCGGCGAGAGAGAATAGGCGTCGAAGAAGAAGAAAAAAGAAGGAAGAAGAAGCAGCTAGTCGTAAATGGGTGTTAATAGTAGCGGGAGGAGGGGAGGGAACAATTATAGTCGATAGAAGCGGCGGGAATTTTCGAAAGTTTTGCGCTATTGTTGGGCGGAGAGGACGGCGGGCTTTACTTCTTTTTTTTATCGCGCTCGCTGTCGCGCCTTCTTTTTTAATAATTCGTGAGAAAATATGTAATCTTTAACACTCAAGTTTAATATTTTGGGTTATTATGATAAAAATTAATTTAATTTTGGGGATTCAAATCATTACATATATAACTTATTTTTGATTGTATACTAAATTATCTTAAGGATTCAAATCACCAGGGATTCAAATCAACATATTCAAAATAATCCATTAAATTTTTTGCATTGAACCCTTCTACATGTGCTTGAGAATAATTTTGTATGCATGTGAGAGTCTATATGTGTTCTGAATGGGTCATAGGAGTCTGTTCACATGTTTGAAAAAGTTTGAATAATTTCCCTAGAATGCCCTGACGCTAGGGTTGGTGGATATTATTAAGAAAATTGGAAAATAAATTAGCGCATCGGTGTTGTGGTGAAGTTGCAACGATGTGGTTCTTTAAGGGAGCGTAATAAAAAATGTCATAGGGAACGTCGATGTTTGGCCGAATTTTAATAATAAATTATCATTTTTCACAAAAATCCCATTCATTTTATTCTAAGGTAGATATGCATGCTGGAGAAAGAATTTTATTAATTTCCAGCAACTTCGATTTAGGTGACATTTTATTAATCTCATTTTTTAAAAACAATGAGATTTTCTTAATTTTCTGATTAATTTTATAATTTTATTAGCAAAAAATAGTGATAACTTGTTATCTGTAAAACCTTTATTACGTAACCTTTTATATGCTATTGAAGAAATGATTTTGCATTTAGATTTTTTTTTTTTTTTTTTGAAAATTTTACACTGCAGGATTTAGGAATTTCACAATTTTAATTCATTAGAAAATCATCCTAACTCTAAAAAATAATATCGTAGTACAATTAAAGTTTTTAAATAATGTTTTGCCTAATCTCTAATAATTTGGTTACACTCTAAAATAGTTAATTTATGTATAATAGTGTATTATTTTGCCTACCATTATAGCATTTGGAAAAATTCTAAACCAAGTTCATTTATATTTTAGTTACTACGAAGCAATGAATTATATAATTATATGATTGAATTATGTGATTTTGAGGATTTGTGGGGTGAATAGTGGAAGCTTAGTTCCAGTGCTAAATATATATCATAGGGTCTACAAGCATGTTCTAATATTAAATGCACATTAAGTTATCAGAATTCTTTTAATTTGTCTTATATGAAGTGCTTTTTTATTTATTTTTTAAATACCATTGTTTAAATTATTGATAATTATAAATATTATTCTACTCAGCATAGTAATTTATTCAAATACATTTAACACTTAGTTAAATGCTTAATAATATATTTTTTAAAAAATTTAAATTAGTAAATGTAACATGCTAAGCTGTAATGGCTCATAGTTGCTTCGTTTTATGTTTCAGTTGAGCAATGTCAAGATCTGATATGAGTTTGTAAAGTTATTACCCTTTTTTTTGAGATATAATTAGGGCTAGTTAATTTTATTATTATGTTTGGTAGCCCAGTATATAACCATATGCTTTAATTGTATATTCATTTTGATGATGAAATGAAAAACATAATTTTGTATTTTATTTTTTATACACTCAATGTTATTAGTAACTTTGTGATTATTGTTGTTTTAAGTTAAAATTTGGACAAAATTTCTAAAATGTTTCCAAAACTTAGTTCCCAGGTTTGCTTATAGCAAACCAACACGATATGACATGTCCACTCTATATGTTTTACCGGGTTGGGTTGTGACATGTAATGTGAATAAATACAAGTTGGTTTGCATTTTAATTTTCAATTTTTGAATGAGATAATTTTATGAATAAAATTTCTTGATTTATTTGATATGTTTTGACTTCAAGTGTATGCTTTTTAAATAAAATTAGATAGTTATCTTTATTTTTTATGTTATTTACAACTATTTTTAAACACCTAATCTAAAGTCTTCATAACTTTTTCTTCACTTCAAAAGCATCATTCAAGACAAATAATAAAGCATGTAAAATCTTAAAAACTAATTTAAAAAATAATAAAAAAACCATCCCAAACATAATCTAAACCCTAAAATTAAATAATATTTTTATTAAATTTCTTTTGATACAAGTGCAATCTAATAGCTATTGCATATTTAATTTGCATAAAACTCATTATGATCTTAACTTCATGATATCTTCAAATTTGCTGACAAGACTAGTCAACGAATTTAATTTGCATGAAACTTATAATGATCTAAACTATATGATATCTTCACATTTGGTCACAAGAAGTCACCGAACCTGCTCTAATTTGTCAAAAATTGTCTACTTCAACTGAACCATTTAAATAATTTAAATTAATTTAATGAGTTTAAACAGATAATATTACATTTAAAATTGAAAGTACATATAATATTATTAAATAAATATTACATCACTATTATTTGATTTAAATATTTATTACATCAATAAATCTAAGCCCGAGCCGATCCATTCTCAAGCATCCTCATAAAGCACAAAATAATTGTAATACTATTTTTTATTTAACTTTTGGCTATAAAAAATGAAATTAAAAAAAAAAAAAAAAACTCGTTGAACGTGCATTACAACAATAATTAATTATCTCATGTTAAATAAAATATTATCTCCCATATGATTTAACAAATGAGTAAAAAAAATGAATACAACAAATTAGAGGATGAAAAAAGAAGCCGAGCCTACTACAGCTCTCGCTCTCCAAATGAGTTTCCCACCCTTTGAAAGCTACACAACGTGACCCGTTGATTTTAAATAACAAAATCAATGGACCTTCATAAGCCAAACTTCAACATCTACATAAAAAATAAATATATAGGAAAAAACAAAACCCCGACCTGGCAGCACGCATTAGTAGACAAACAGCTTTTTTAGTTGCAAATAAAGAGTTCGCGATGTGAAATGAAATTAAATTAGAAATTGTTCATCACTATAAAATAAATTTGAAAAAATATACATATATATAATCCAGCTGCAAAATAAATATCTCTGATGTTATAGAGGTTTAATGCATTTGACATTATACACTTGTGCGAACATCAGATGATTGGCATCTTATTCTCAAGTAAATAAATAATCAACGAGGCCCTATATGGTTCCAGTTCAGGTTCATTTCCTAATGTTTCTAAATATGATGCTAAAAAAAAAACTTCCTCTTATAAGATATGTGGCTTAAAAAGGTATGTCATTAATCTTCCAAGACAAGATACTAAAAGAAAATTTAAAATTAGTTCATTGAGCCAACCAATTTGTAGTATTTGACAAGTAGTTATTATGATGATGAAGCACTGGCACTTCAAAAGGGCATGCCCCTAACGATACTTTCACACGTAATGATGGTGACCTATATTATTTCTTTTCGGATTGAACTAGCTTTGAAAGCTATATTTTGTCTCGATGATGGTTGATTCCTATTGAGAACCCCCTAATATATGATTGATGATGATATCCTATTGATACGAGCCCTAGTATTAGAAATGGTCTCCGAAATGATCACGGAGACGAGACGACCCAATTGGTTTGACTAAATTAGTGATACATGAATTTCATATTTTGTGTTGTTCTTTCCAAAGGTGTACACTTTTATTTGGATTTGTTGATATTTACATGCACTTCAAGTTTTTTACTTGAAAAGATTTTGGAATTAGGTACTTTGATGATTAAGCATGTACTATTAATAATTTATAAAAGAATATATTATGTTCATGAATGAAGTGTTGTGTTATGACATGTCCATATTGCAATTTTATCATGCCCTCATGTCTGTTATGATTGTGGTTTTACCTGTGTTTCATCTGCGAGCATTGATCAACCTTTTACTATTTTATTACGCTCCTATATCCATATTGTATCATGTCCTCATTTTGTGTCAACAGTCATGATTGATTAGCAGGTAGTTCGATGAGGAAGAAAGCAGAAATAAATCGGACATTAATAAAAAAAGACACTGGAGTTATGGAGATCAAAAGATATTTAGGAAAAAAAATGTCTACTTCCTAATACTGCCAAAATTTATACTACTAAAGGCCTTAATAAAAGAACCCGAATGTATTAAATTACAAAACACCCTAATTCAATTCCCAGAAAGGATTCAATGATTCAAAGCAAAAGAAAAGCACTATAAATGCTTTCAACACCCTTCAAAATTTCTATTAGGCTTGTCCTAAATGCCAAGCAAATCCAATAAAAGAAACGAAATCCCATACACATTTGTGTAATGAAAGCAATCACTCATAGGGCTAGTCACAATCAATACATAAAGTAAATAATTAAATATTTGGCATTATAAGGAATCCTAACTTTATCAATAAATGCAAAAATATATATATTATAAAAAAATGCAAAAAAAAAAAAAAAATATATATATATATATATAGAACACCAAAGCAATTGATTAAATCGATGAACACAAATTACAGTTTCAAGGACATTCAAGTACTAAGATTTCACGAGGAGAAATAACGTTTTGAGAGGAGATATAATGCAAAATATCAGCATGCAATAAAAAAGAGTTTAAAAAATTGCAATTACTTCTTTACCTTAGATGGTTTATAGAAAGAAAAAGAAACTCAAAAATGAAAAATCAACAATAAACTAACCACACAATATGCTTCAGTGATTTTATGCACTAGGAGAATACAATACATTTAACTCCCTCATCCTTATAGACCTTTCCGCTAGTGTGTTCTACATGCAAAGCAAATGCTTCAACCTACCTGAATCAAATAATAAATCTCCTAGAATATACTTCCCACAAAAGTTAAAGTTCATATAAACAACCACAAAAATTTAAGGCATGCATATAGCTTGATAATCAAGCATGCAACAAAACTAAAAAAAATCCAATAGCACTGCAAACATCATAATCATAACAATTACCTTTAGCTTATCCCAACAAATTTGGGGACTGCTCTATAAATCCTCATTTTCAATTATTCATGATGAATGTTGCTTGAAATGTCAAACATATTATTCACAAATCATTTTGAACATTCATTTGTGTTACCTTATATTAATTGCTTCTCAATCATATTCCTCTTTCACCAACCAGTACAAGCGGTGCATTTTCTAACCTTTGCTAGAATGTTCAAACCAAGATAAATTTTAATTGCCTAATCTTTAATAGATATTACAGTAACCATTCATATAATAATCATAATTTAAATTAAAATCATTCATTAAACCATAAATCAATCTTACCATTCTTAACATATCCACATTTATCAGAAAATACTCCTATGGCACCTTCTCATATAATGATCCTTTCTGTGTTCTATACTATTTTACAATTGTCTTCACAGAAATCACTTAAATCTAATACATAAAGGTCATTTCTAATAATATTATGCTTCTCTTTTAATGGCCAACAATTTGCAACATAAAGCATTGCAGGTCTAACCATCATCTAATATATTTTTTTCTGAAGTTTGAGGGGGACTTTTATCACACAACAAGCCCGATGCATTCCTCCACTTCAACCATCCAACTTAAATTATGCTGATAATATCCTCATCTATTTCACCATCACTCTGAACAATAGACCCATTATATTGAAAATGTGTACTCTTATTAATGACTTGGTCACCCAAAGTCACAATCCCCATGATATTGAAAATGTGTACTCTTATTAATACATGATCACCCAAAGTCACAATCCCACCATTAGACCTGTTATTACTAAAATTATACTCCATATATTCAATTTTAGATTCACTCAAACGAAAGGCTTTAGACTCTAAGGTTGACCTTCATAATTCAAGTTTACCTTCAACTTCCTCTCTAGTCTTATCAACAAGAAGAATATACTCAGCAGGGTACAACCTCTTGCAAATGTTTAGTGAGAACACCATGACTAAAGTAAAAAAGAAAAAAAGATATGGGCTTAAGGCTGATCCTTGATGTAATCCAACATAAATAGAAAAATAATTGGTCAAATCAACTTGTGTTTGAACACAAGTAACAACACCTGCATATATATCATTAATGACTTGAATATAAGTATTATTAACCTCTTTCTTATCTCGAACTCTCCAATAGCACTTCGAACTTTATCATATGTTTTCTCTAAATCAATAAATATCATATGTAGATCCTCCTTATTCACTCTATACTTCTCCATCAAACCTTTCAATAAATGTATAGCTTTCATAGTAGACCAGCCCGGCATGAATTCAAATTGATTTTGAGAAACATTATTATCATGCCACAACCAATGCTCCATAACTCTCTCCCATAGTTTTAAAATATAACACATTAACTTGATTCCTCTATAGTTAGCACAATCTTATGCATCACCTTTTATTGTTAAAAATAACAATCAACACAGTCATTCTCCACTTATATGACATCTTTTTAGTCGTCAAAATAATATTAAAAAGTTTAGTAAGCCAAGAAATTCCTTCATCTCCTAAGCATTTACACACCTCTATTGAAATATCATCAGGTCCAACAACTTTTCCACACTTCATTTTCTTTAAAGTCTCTCTAACTTCGATTATAATATTATGTTAATAAAAAAAAAATCTTTATTTCCATTTAGGGGGCTAAGGTCACTAAAATCAATCACATTCTCATATTCATTGAAAAGTTTAGAAAAATATCTCATCCACCTTTGTTGAAGATCCTCTTCTAATAAAAGCACTTTTTGATCTTCATCCTTAAATACACTTCACTTAAACTAAATCCTTATTACTCCTATCTCTTTGTTTGACTAACTTATAAATAAATCTTTCTCCCTAAGTATCTAATCTATTATATAAATCATAGCTAAAATTTTTGCATTACATATTGCTTTCTTAGATTCCTTATATCGCATAAATCATTTATGCCTAAACATTGATATAAAATTCTTCTTCAAAGTACTTCAAAAAACTCTTAGACTAAAAATTCCATAAGACTTGTAAATAAAAAAGTTGCAATATCCCCTTTAACTCTTTAAATCTCAATGCACAATTCATTTGAACCAAAAGCTTTATCTTTAATACATCTTCTTCAAAGCTAACTACATTTAAATTTTTTGGAATCAATCTATAAACACAATGCTCTTCCAACATAACTTTTGCATAAAACTCCTATTTAATAATTTTTCAAAATAATTATTCTATATTTTCTTAATAAATTCACATTTAACTAAGATTATATTAATTTTGTAGCTAATACAATTAACAAGATCCAAGTCTCTAGGGCTCTAATCTCTTGGATTAACTATTTTATGTATATCTTTTTCAACTTATTTAATACAAAGCTTATCAACTAAGTTATTAAAAAGTTGTGCCTTTTGCAATGCTCGCTAAATTCTTTACAAGATTTGTAGAACTTATTCATTATAAGGACCACATCTCCTTGTCAATATACAATTGATCTTTAGAATCCCTAACATCTTCAAAGTTAACTCTACTTTTTGGAATCAATCTATATACACAATGCTCTTCCAACATAAATTATTGCATAAAACACCCATTTAATAGTTTTCCAAAATAATATTTTTATCTTTTCTAAATAAATTCATTTTCAACTAAGATTATATTAGTTTTGTAGCTGATACAACAAACACCATTAAAGTCTCTAGAGCTCTAATGTCTTGGATTAACTATTTTATATATCTTTTTTTTTTACTAGTTTAATAAAATGTTTGTTAAATAAATCATTACAAGTTGAACCTTTTGTAATGCTCACTACGTTCATTACAAGGTTTGTAGATCTTGTATAGTCATTATATAAAAAAAAATCATCTTATCAACATCCAATCTATTTTTAGAGTCCCTAAATTTTCTAAGGAATCTTCTTTGATAGAACTAGCTAAATTATCAACATTAGGTTTAGCTTGGCTGGAGAATTCCAATTTGCCTCTCTTAACAACCTCAGCTAGAAAGGATAAATTAGCATTGTGCAAACACTTAAACAAATTATAAAGAAGAAATAAAAGAAGAACAAAGATAAATAAAGCCTCATGCTTTAAGAACAACATTGTCTCACGAAAGAGAATCCGAAGGAGAAAAGGTTTTACATTCAAAGATAAAACATTAGGTGAATGCCTTCGACAATTAGAATTTTGCTCGCCTTGAATTTGTTTTCATTTCCATTTTGATTACGGGCTTTTGGTTGCAACTATTTATAATAAAGATATATTTTAAATGTAGTTTGAAGAAAATTTATGTATTTGGAAAATTTAGGGTTTTGTGAATTGTTTAAAAAAAAAGGAAAGTCCTTTGTTGTGATTGCAAGAAAAATGAATAAAAATTTTAATATTAATATTTTTTCAAAAACTTTTTGGAAAAATGAATTGGAGCAAAGATGAGGTTGACGGTTCCATCACGGGTGGTTGTTTGCTAGCATGGTTGGCGACAACACAGCAATAAGCAAGCGCTAGGAGAAATTGTGAGGTCATGAGCCTTGTGAAGAGCCAAGGGTGCGAGCAAGAGCTTGGAGAGCCAATGAGGTCGATAGTGCTTCAGAGCAAGAGGTCATTCGCCAACACTGGGGTTTAGTTGGGTTGGGCTGGGTTGGGTGGGTGAGGCAGGTGGGGGGGCAAGATCGAAGGAAGTTTGCAAGAAAGAGGATGTTGGGATTTGGAATTTACTTGGTATTGATGAATTCCAAATTCATCAAAAATAAATTGCTGGAAGTATTCAAATATAAATATTCTGGTTTATTTTCATCCTCAATCCAACACCTAAAAATTTAAAAGATCTGCATTTCAAATGCATCAAACTCATAATACACTCAACTAAAAATCCCCTTAGTGTATATATAAATAAAGTCCATTTACTTGTGTGAATTAAGGGATGGTTTAACTAAAACTAATTTTAATATTCTACTACCTATATTTTAAAAAATTATAGATCTATGCACAACTACATTCAACACTTCACTAAGTGGATTTCATGCATTTATAATGATAATCATGTTTTAGAACAACAAAAAACATAAATGTTTTAGGAAGCACTTTCTAAGTAAAATTTATTCAAAAGTTTATTGGTTTTATTTATGGACAAACCGAAAAAAAAAAGAAAAAAAAAATCTATACATTTATACTAAGAAACTGTAGGCATTTATACCGACATAGAATTCATCTCTTGATTTTAGTACCATGTAACCCATCCATGCAAACAATTTCTTTCTACTACAATTAACTTCATTGAATATTAACAAAAGGTTGCAACTAACAAATCACGAATATATAAAACTTTAACCCAGATTAAATTAGATAGATGTTTCAAGTTATTTTGACGTGATATTATGCCTATAAAACTATAGGAATATCTCTGTAACAAAGTTAAATTGGTAATATTCAAAAAACGTTTGTCCAACACACCTTAAAAACGTTTTACCTTTCAAGAAATAAAAATGTAAAAACAAAAATTAAATCGAGTGGAAACTTCTCATTTATCTACAGAAAGTTACAATTATAATTTATAAAAGGAAGCTACCAAGAATAAAGGATTTGTGATCCATAAATCTATGAATCTACTATCAATTCAATTTTCAAAAAGTATAAATTATTAAAGAAAAAATTAATCAAACGTTTAATTAAATCATAGCTCATTCCAAAGCATATAAATTACAAATAATTATGAAAACTCAACTATTTATAAAACTTAAAAAATATAACCTGAGGATGAACCTAACATAACAAATCTCTTTACAAAAGAGGTTCAATACGCAATATAGTATTAATTACAATTTATAATTGTATTAGAAATTTGATGTAGACAAAGGGGGGGTCAACACTAGTCCAAAATAAATCAAATTTTGGCTTCCCTTGAGTCCAGTAATTCATCATATTTGAGCTAAACTTTTAGTTCATTTATGAGCTGGACTTTAGTTCATTTATTGAACTAAGGGTTAGCTCATTATGAGCTAACATTTTAGTTCATTTATTATCTTTTAATTAAATGTTTTTAGGCTTTTTATGTTATAGTCTTTTGGGTTTCCAATGGGACTTTTGGAATCCCAAGTGTGGTGTTTAGTATTCCTATGTATGACCCCTTGGTTTCCACCAAGGTTTTAAAATTTTTTTGTTTGCCTCTTGGGATCTCACGGCTGGCTCCTTATTCCGTGACCGTCCCTTGTTTCCTGTGGCCGTGGCTCTCGGTCCGTGTGGTTCCCCTCATCTCCCGTGGCTGTCTCCTTGGTTCCTGGTTTGGGTGTTTAACCGTGAGCTTGGGGGGTAGTTTTCTATGTGTTTAATGCTTTGAATTTAATGTTAAATTAATGTAAGGTGTCTTTTGGTCTTCCCCTTTCATACCTATATATATGGGGGGTATTGTAATTTTTGAAATAGTTAAGTGAATGATATTTGATTTTTGGAAAAAAAATCTGTTAACCTGCGGGTTTGCTTGAAAATTCTGCGGGCTCTTTCCAACCTTTCTTCTCGGGCTTCTAATCTCTTTCGTCTCTCCGCAAGTGTCACTCCACCTGTATCCCTCTTCTATAAGTGAAGCAACTTTAGGGTGTCTTTTCGTTTGTGTTTTTTTAATTTCTTTTATTTCTTTAATTTGAAATGTAAGAGTTTGTTCGTCTCTTTTCTCATCTTTAGCCAATTTCGTCCGTAGAAGTCCGTCATATCTTTTGCGATCGGAAGATATAGGTCCCCTATATCTTTTGCCCGCATCAAAATTAGACTTAATTAAAAAGTCAAACCAATGAACACTTAAACTTAAAGCTACAATTTAAATCCAGCTTTGATTTAACACCGAGCATCTCATAGGCTTACGTAACCTAAGCTTACAACTGGCTTGATTCCTGTGAAATTAACTGTTGAAATCACTCCTTTGCATGACATTCAACTAGAATCTGACTTTATTTTGATTCTCAATTTCTGAATGTCTCAAAGAATAACCTCATAAAATATGTCAAACAACTGTGCATAGGACACACATCGCTTCTACTTTATTGAGCCAAAAGACAAATGAATGATAAAATCTATTATTTAAACTCAAAAGTAATTTGCTCATGGAATCTCTTACCCAACCCCCACCACCGCATTAAATTAAAATATTGCTCTTTGAAGAAGTTATACACCTCTATGATAAATGTAACATAGTCACATCAAAATCAAATGGTATTTGCTAGTTAACATAAGAAAGCTTCATCCAGGGAGTTACCCATAGCTTGCCACCTGCAAATTGAAGTTTTCATGCATATTCTAGTAAGCTACTCTATCATTCATTATCATGCATAAATTGTACTTCAGGAAACCAAATGTTATACACAAGGATGATTTCATAAGTAATTAAATATGGCGTGCGACCCAAATTATATCATATCAATAGACCCAAGTTCCTCGTCTAGACTATGTTTATAGTAAAGAAAGTTATAGCCATATGAAATGTTTTGTGCCTCCTACCTAAATTAAAACTATCTACTAGATCCTTATGCCATGTATAATTATTAGCATACCATAACAAATTGCGTTTGAACTTAAATCTATGTTTTTCAACAACTGTGGCGCTAACTTATTCTCTATGATTACAAGATGTGAATGCAACCTCCAGGCAATGTCATCCTCTTCGGAAGTTTAATCCATTGTCTGACGTCTCATAGTGGAATGCCATAATGCCTGGAGCTAGATCATTGTGTTATTTTATCAATTATATTCTCCAAAAGTACAGCGGTTTATAACTTGAGGGTATTCATGGGAATCAACAATCTTGAACTTAGGTGGTCCATGACAGTTACGTTTGTCATATAAAATAAAAAGACATTTCAATAATTCTCTTAACAATTGTTTCATCTTTTTACCACATGAAAATTCTTTTTCATTTCTTTGAAAGTATTATTTTAAAATATTATTAAGCTAGTTTGTGATGCAGAAAATATGATCATTAATATTTTCTTTTATGTAAGTTTATAGGCATGTGTGTTTGTGCGAGGTGTGGCGAGAATATATGATTTCTTTCCTTAATAGTGAATAAAATATTATGATCACTAATTTTTATTAGAATGAGAGCACACGTTATATAGTTCATGTCATTCTCGTTATCTATCATGATGATCATATACATTACGATCTTTGTGATCATGATAATCATGCTTTCAACAAACATGTCATGATCAATCATACCATAATAGCCACGCCGACTTTTACCTCTGATATGATACGCATGCAAAGTTAAAAGCCATTTTGATCAACCTTCTAATAAATCTCAAAAAATCCAAAATCTCATTAAGTCTTGTGATGAAAAATTCATTTGAATTAGATTTATGGCTTCAATTATTCCAATCTCCATCCAATTATTCTAATATCAACTCCATAAGTTCCACTATCTCCCTATCTTTGTGCGTCTGAGCCCTCCCTAGCGTGATGATGCAGTTTATCTTGAGCATATCATTGTGTCTAAGGATGCATTTGAGCTATAGACATTGCACATGTTTTCTTACTAGAGACTAGTGTTGCACCGAAGTAAAAAAAAAGTCTTCAACCAATTTTGTTGCTCCATACCAAGCATAAATGAAGATAAGGTTTCCATCATTAAATTACATTTTTGATGTTGGTACACAACATGATGGGGACATCAGTTGGAAAGTCTACCGTCGACGTGGCCATAAATCATCGGCCACGATTTACCCGATCTATTTTTTATTTTTTTTGTCTACTTATTGATGTAATCTTTTTATTTCAGCATTTTCCGTTTTTACCCTTTCTTGAGAGATTGAGTCTTGTAGCCCATTAAGGGTATTTGAGTCCTTTTTGCTTTAAGTCATTGTATGAGGCTATTTATAACCTTGATCTTGTTATTTTGAAGTTAATAAATGATTAAGAAAATTTTCCTGCATTTGTCTTCTTGCATGAGCTCTTGTGAGAGCTTGATTGTTTGATGGAGAGATATCCCTAGGAGAGGGAAGCTTGCGCACTACCCACCAACCTTGGAGACGGCCGGGTTCGTGGTCTTTCTTTATCTTTGTCTTTGTTTTTCCTCCTTCCACCACTACCACCGAACATCTTTACAACCAAACCCTCCTCCATCCCCAAGCAATCGTCACCCCCCCCCCCCAAATCAAACTTCCCCTCCCACATTCTCCACCATAAGCCGCCGGTCACCCCACTCGACCCCTCCTCCCTCAACCCACGAACAACACTCCACCCGACCCCTCATACCGCAGGCCCAATCTCTAGCCGCCGGCCACCATCCACCTCCTCCCCTTTGAAATCCTTGCCTAATTTGGGTGATTTAATTTTGGACAGATTTTCAAAATTCAAATCCAACTAATTTGAAATTGAAATCTTTCCTAATTTGTCATTCTATTTTTTGAAGGTTCTTAAATCAATTCTTTTGAATTTCAAATTCATTTGGATTTGGTTAATTACTTTCCTAATCCTAAATTTATATTTAGGTAAGCATGACACCTCATCCCCAAATTCCCTCTTGCCCATTAATGCCACTGGCCCCTTCATTGGCTTGGATTTAGATTTATTTCTTTAAGCTAAGTATCTCGTTTGGAAATATTTCAAATTCCCCAAATCTACTCTTAACCAAATTTTCCCCAAGTCCTAAGCTTTAATTTTATTTCCTAAAACCTGAAATCAGATTTTGGAAATAAAATTCCCTCTTCTCAATCCCGCCAGCCCTCTCCCACCCGTCTCCCCCCCCCCTCTCTCTCTCTCTCTCTCGAAGCCCCTCTCTCTCACGTTCACACGTTGCTGGACAAATGTTTGAATTCCTCTTCCAATTTCCTTTACTCCTAAGCATAGAAAACTGAAGGTTTTCTCATATTTTAGGTTCAGATTTTAGTTCCAAAATCTGAAATGTTTTTCTGGATTTTGGAAGAATACTTGGGACTTAACATCTCTCCGCTTATAAGAGAAGATTCTTTCTTTTGCTACCATTCGAGAGGTGTATCAAGACGATTCTCCGCAAAGGTGATATTCTTCATTGAATCATGTACCTTCCTATTCTACTACTTCGTAGGGAGATTGTTCAAACAAGAGATTTTGTTCCACTGTCACCATCCATTAGTAACATAGGATTGTTACTTCTTTGCTTTTAGACCTCTTGTTAGATCAAGGTTATGATGAAAGCTACTTTGTACGCTTTGCTTTAATTCTCTTAAATATTTTGACTTTGCTTAGTCTCTCGCGTAGCTTAGCCTAAACGGACATGACCGCTTAATTATTTTATTTCTTGGTTTTAGTGGTTAATAACGAGAAGTCCAAAGTTGTTCTTTAAATATTTCGTGCAAATTTCCTGTCTCGCATTTAGTCCTGCATCACAACAACATAATGCAAGGAGATATCTAGAATCTCATGCCAAAGATTGAGACTATCATACAAGGTGTGCTCAATCACCTATACCATAATTTGCATCTCTTCATATGCACAAAAAATGAATTCATGATGCGCCATCACAATTAAAATGTAATGGGATTTTAGCTCATCCAATTCATAATGCATATAGACATTTAGAAATAAAACCTCCATACTCTTCACATATTGTTAAGTCATTAATAGTCCCACCAGTCCATAATGGATATTTACCACCTCCACGACCAAAAAACCACAATGTTTGCTTACTTCTGAGTGTGATTAGAGCTGTGCATGAGCCAATTCTACATTCACTACCAATACAACAACCTTTTAACTTTTGATACAGTTGAAAGATGCCTAACAAAATCTATCAAGATTTTCTATATTAATTTATATGCATTTGTGTGTGTGTGTATATACATACAAACACATACTAAGAACATATGATTCATTTTTATTTATAGTTAATTATTATAAAGTAATTTAAAAGTTTTTATAATGATTTTGGTCGTGTATTCAAGGAAATTTGATTGATTGATTAAATAAAATTTTGAATTAGTGAGGCCCTCTCTCAAATATCACTCTCTTCTCTAATATCTCTCCCGATTCCCATCTTATATCTTCTTTTCAATTCCCTTCCATTCTTAGTCAGCTAATAAAGACCACACTCCATAAATATGGATACATGGATTTAATCTATTAGATTAATGGATGAATTATGAATGAATTATGAATGAAAAGCTTTTGATTAGATGTAAAGTGCTTTGATAGCCATAGGTAGAAACTATAGCTATCCTGTTTCATCTGGGTTTGTACATTGTAAGATGTACAAATTTCCAGTGGAACCTACATTAGATTGGGCATGGCATGGCATGTTGGCGAGAAGGCTGCTTCTCTGTTCGAACCAAAGATGGAGAATGTCTTTTCCAACCATATCATAAAAGGATTTCTGATCTAAGGCGTGATTGGAAAAAACCATTCATGATAATGGAAGGTAAAGTACGATCACTGTAAATTGTACGACCACATACAATAAATAAAAGCAAACCAGCATAAAACTGACTCGATGCAAATCAACAACTAGACCTTTGAGCATCACAACCAAAATTTCTTTAAGTTAAACATACATCAATTATCCCACAAACCCTACATTAATTGAGCACCATGCACTAATATGCCATTTTATACCAAAAAACCTACTGCTAACATAATGTTTTTTTATATGGATCCATCATACACTTCACTTTGAAATTTGAACATCATAATCATTTCAAGATTATTTTAGGTTATGACACAATAGCTAATTTGCCATTTATTTATTTCATTAGAATACCCAATTCATTGTCATTTGCACCGCACCAGCCATTTTTACTATCGTCATGATTATCTTAGTCCATGGCATTACAGTTGTTAGTAGTTTGTTTTAACTTTACAACTTCGATGGCAACTAACTAATAATTTGTTAATTGTATTTTCGCTCATCTATAAAAAAGTTAACATATAGTATATGACAATTTATAGCATAAATATAATTCTTGTTTTCTGTTTGGAAGACAACTCATATTCATCTATTATAAGATTTTGACCTTTGAACTCGTGTTAACCAAAAAATTCCAAGAAAGGCAAACATCTTATTCAAACAATGACTGTTCATCACATAACTTTTTTCCTAATCTCTATTTCATAGTTTTATCAATTTTTCATCTGTCGCATCTTATTTGAAAGGTCTTTCTGCTCAAAAACCAATAAACCTTCAAAATTGCAGATAGCAGCAAGTCGACTTCCAAGGAAAATACAAGAGTTTCAAGCTTATGAGAAAGTTTAGCATGTTTCAACAAAATGTTAATGCAAAACTTCCATGTTAATCTTTTGGTTCTCAACATCTGGATTTTCTGAGCTATTTAAATCTAAGACATAGATCATACAGCGGTAGCAAGACAATCAAGATCAGAGCAACGGATAAAAAAGTTCAATAATTAAACTCAGTGACACAAATTATCAGAATCGTTTCAGCAAAACAATTGTTTTTAGTTCCTAGGGTGGACCCTACTTGCTTATTTAAAAATTGCATTAACATGAACTTTAGAATATAATAAAATTAGTGTTAATACATTATAAAAAGATAATAATGTCACAATCATAATAAATAGAAAAAAAAAAACAGTAAAATAAGAAAGGCAAATCAAGAAAGCTAACTCCATTGCAAAAGCAGAAAATAATAGAAGAATTAAAGAAGTTAAATTAACTATATGGATTTTAAAATCTATTTAAATATAAAACAAACAGCAAATAGAGAAAGTGAATTTAAGTAGAATTGTCTTTCCCTCTAAAATGGAACTAAACTTATCGCTATGATGTTTTCATGTGAATATGAAGTAAACATCTAAGTTTCTTTATTTCAAATTCTTTCTGAAACTATATTTCGTTTTTTTCAAGCTATGTAGCCATAATAAAAATATATCATATACAGATATTATGCATAATGGGAGGAAAGTGGAAACAACTAAAAAGCTTATTTCCAATAAAGCCAAACAGGGCATATCTCACTTGTCAATCCTCTCAAAACGCTGTTTCCACGTAAGGACGTTTTCAGTTTAACCAGGTGGTTACCACTACTTGGGCGACTTATAAAGAAAATCAAGTAAGCTTAAAAATTATAGCGGAAATTAAACTAGAATAATATGATACCTATAGACTGATTTGATTCCTTACGACTGTAAATAATTCTTCAGCAGTTCAATTTGAGCAGACACGACCTAAATAAAAACACTAGTCCAATGAGAATAAATTAGAACGGAAAAAGAATTACAAAAAACTAAATATATAACGTTGCATATTCTTCCTCAAATGATACCAAAGGAAACCATACAATCCTCGTGTAATTAAAATGGGCGTGTTTTGATAGGCTACCTAGAAAACAAACCACTTCTCACCCAATATACTAATAGTTGTCACCTTACTAATTACTTCACTTATTAAATCTACCAAACTACTATTTCTATGACCAGTTTTCAGCATTCATAAAAGAAATAGTTACCAAATTAAATGTGACAACCTTCACTCCTGATTTCAAGATTAAGAGGCCGCTGGTGGCAAGTATTTAGAACTTAGGTGTTTTATAAATATGCAAAATAAATTCAATGTATTTGAATACTTTTTTTATGTTTAGTTTGCTATAAAGTAATTTCAGGATATTATTTTTTTGTTTGAATTGGTGCGAAATGAATCAAAATATTTTGTTTTTTCTTTATGTACGTTTTATTAGCGCAAGAAACAAGGCATAGATCAGAGGTGCAACAGAGGCCGAAGTCGAAGCTACAATTGACATAAAAGCTGGAGGTCGCATGGTCAGATGAAACACGAAAAGTAAGTTTGACGCTAACGTGATTAGAATGAAAATCTGAGGTGATGTTGAGGTTCACGTTGGAGGTTGCATGATCAAAGGTCATATGCCTAAGGCCCACGTTTTGTAGGTTGCATGAGCACAAGAAATATGAGGCCACGTTGACTGCTAGCATGAACAACTAGTTTGCATGGAGTGATCTATTGGGAAATTGTTTGATTTTGACGAATTTCAAATACTTAAAAAATAAATTAGTTGATATACTCAAAAAATAGTTTCAATTTGTTTTACTCTCAACCAAATATTGAAAAAAATTAAAACCCTTAAATTTGAAATGCAATACACTCACAACCCCTCTAGCCAAATAATCCCCAAGTCAAAACTATAATGCCTTGAATCCCCTCTCTCTCTCTCTCTCTCTCTCTCTCTGACCCTTATTGGCTGAAAAGGTGATATTCTTCTAGGGAATTGCAATCATAAAAAAACAGCAAAAATTTAACTTAAAAGTGAATATTCTAAGAATGGCAAGCAAATTGATGCACTTCACAAAAAACTCAATATGATGCCCGATAATAATTCTTTTATGATTGTTTATTGAATTGACAAAAGTTTAAACAATTAAACATGGATGCTAAGGCATGACATTTAGATGACTATACTTGAGCATCAGGCCTCCCTAGCTAGTTGACATGCACACAAGTTTATTTTAAACACTATCAGTGAAGCTTGACCTATAATTGCACAAATTTGAAAATCAGCTTGATTATTTAGTTCAGTCTACAAGTTCATTTGATCTTCAACTAATACTTCAATAAGAGCTCAAAAAACATTCATTTTAACTCATGCTAAGAATCTTTTTAATTGGCTTTTTTCATTGTCTAGCATCAAACCTTTTTTTCATCCTATACATTTTTATGAGGCGTATCAGTAGTAACAGGAGAAAAATCAAAGGTCTTACTGGTAAGTTCTTTAGAGAAGTCTACTTAGTTTTAATAACATCAAAGTACTGAAAGAACACTAAGTGAATTATGTCAACCATTAGACAAGGCTATACATATAAATCCTCTCATGTCAGTTAATTCAATCTAACTCCAGCAAAACATCATTATGCACAAGGACCATAAAAGAATAATAAAGAAGCTAGCAAAAAAAGCTTCCAAAACCTAGATAATGCTAAAGATATCTTAAACAAAAAAAGAGATAAAGCAAGGCATTCAACCGCTTGGACCAGCTGTTTATAGCTCTAACAAGCAGGCTAACATCTAAAATCCAAGTTGAAGACTACACTCAGAATTACAAGGAACTAATGAAAAAGCAAGATGAATCATAATCATTTATGACACTAACAATCACCTCCATAATTCAAGTTTTTCATCAACTCCCTCTCTAGTCTTATCAACAAGGAGAATATCATCAACAAAAAGCATACACCAAGATACATCCTCTTGCAAATGTCTAGCAAGAAAATCGATGACTAAAGCAAAAAGATAGTCTTAAAGCTGATCCTTGATGTAATCCAACTAAAATAGGAAAATAATTGATCAAGTCAACTTGTGCTTGAACACAAGTAACAGCTCTTGTATGCATATCTTTACTGACTTGAATATAAGTATTATTAACTCTTTTTTAAAGAACTCTCCAAGAGCACTTTTCTTGGAATTTTATCCTATGCTTTCTATATTCTAAATCAATAAATATCATACGAAGATCCTCCTTACCTTCTCAATACTTGTCCAATCAAACCTCTCAACAAATGTATAAAATTCTATAGTAGACCTACCCAACATGAATACAAACAAATTTTGAGAAGCATTAGTATCAAGTCATAACCTATGCTTAATTACTCTTTCCCATAAGTTTAAAATGACACATTAACTTAATTCATCTATAACTTGCACACTCTTATTCATCACCTTTATTCTTAAAAATAAGAACCAACACAATCCTTCTCCACTCAGCTGTCATGTTTTTAGTCTTCAAAATAAAAATAAAAATTTAGCAAGCCAAGAAATTTCTTGATCTCCTAAGCATTTCCATACATCTATTGGAGTATCATTAGGTTCTCTTGCTTCTCCACTCCTTATTTTCTTTAAAGTCTCTCCAACTTTGATTTTACTATTACAACAATAAATATAAAAATTTTAATTTTCATTTAGGGTGCCAAGATCACTAAAGTCAATCATATTCATACAATCTTTTTTGAAAAGTTTATTAAAATAATTCATCCACCTATATTAAATATCTTCTTATAAGAAAAGTATTTTTTGATCTTCATCTTCAATGCACTTCACTTGAATTAAATAAGCATGGTTTACCACCTAGCAATGCATAGCCTATCTCGATACAAGAAGAAGCAACTAATATGGTGAACTACTCCATTAAAGAAAAATACCAGCACCGAATATGGTGTAATTCTACTAATTTGAGAGTTAAAAAAAGAAAATAAATAACCCAGGGTATAATAGATATGAATCATAGCATTAAAAAAAAAGATAATAGAACAAAAACTAAATTCAAACCATCATTCTCCAGAAGGACCACAGTATGAGAAAATTTGGAGTTAGCAGGACTTCACTTTCTCCAGTTATATGGAAGTCTGTTCAACACCATTAACGATTATTAGTTTCTGAATACCCTACAAGGTACATGATTAGGAACTCTAAAGAAAATTTGATTTATGGTTAGATGCTAAGGACTTCAAATGTTACCGGTCACAAGACAATAGAGTAATTGAAGGACCAGCAACACCTAAAACTCTGAACTTCAATCAATTGCCCAATTAAGCAACTTGTAAACTCACAAAAGAACTATTGCAGGCATAGGAAGGGTGGGGGGAAACACGACTATCAACATAATTCAATATAGGGGAAAAAAACAGTAGAATACAATAACAATCAAATTTACATAAGAAAATTAAGAAAAAAGCTGTCATAAAATAATAGCAGTCCTAAGATTTGAGGAAGCTATAAGGATGTTGGCGTTCTGAACTCTGATCCACACCAGCTCAAGATTGACTAGAAGTTAATCAATTCAAGCTCAAGATTGACTATAAGTTATTCAATTCAATCTCAAGCATATCTAAGTGATGGGGACATCAGACCATGGAAAGTATATCAGAGGCGTGGCCATCGATCTACGGCCACGCTCGAGTCTATGTATTTTTGAGTCATTTCATGTATTTGTTTTTCTTATTATGTTATTTATCTTTTATTATTTATGTTGTATTTGTTTTCCCGCTTTACCCTTTACTTAAGGGAGGTCATATGTAAGTCATAGGAGCTTTGTCTTCTTTTTATTTTGAGTCCTTTGTACGAGGCTATTTATAGCCCTTATGTTTATCTTATAAGGTTAATGAATGATTGAATGAAAAATTTTCTACATTTTCATTTCTTGCAAAAGCGAGAGAGGTTTGGCGAGAGATCCCTTGGAGAGGGAAGCGTATCACTCACCAACCTTGGAGACGGTCGGGTTCGTGGTTCTTCGTCGTTATCTTATTAACTTTTTTCCCTCATCCCCTAGCCGCCCCGCCACAAATCTTCCCGGACCCATCTCCTAAGCCGCTGGCCACTACACCCTCCACCATCACCCACCGCCGAGACCCCAACCTTCATACTCACCCACGGCCACTCCCTCACCGTCGGCCACCCTTGGCTCCTCCCCCATCCACACTGGCCCCACAACCTTCCTAAAATAGGTTTCATAATTTTAGTAACTCTCTTCATGATCAAATTCAAATTAATTTGAATTTGAAAGAGTTACCTAATTTACAAAATCCTATTTTAGGAAACTTACTAAATTGATTCCTATTTAAAAATTAAATTAAGAGGGGATTAGATATTTCTTTCCTAACTTAATTTATTAATTTAAGTAGGCATTAAATGCATCATTAACTCCTCCCTCCCTCTCTATAGTCGTCGGCCCCCTCATGAATTAGATTATGAATTGTTTCCTAAAACTCTACTCTCCACTTTGGAAACAATTCAAATCTCTCCCACCTCATTTGGCGGAATTTACCCATAGCCCTTTCTAATTAATTTATTTCCAATAGGGAACCTCTCCAATTGGAAGTAAATGAATCCCCTCCCCTCTTTCATACCTGCCGCCTACATCCCATTTTCTCTTCCTTATTTTATTCTCAATCAAAGAGAATAATTAGGAAGTGTTTGAGTACAATTCCTCCACTTAAAATTTCCCAAAATCTGAACCTAATTTCCCCAAACCACTTATCCTTGGCCGGCCAACCTCTCTTGCCTTCTCCTACTTGGATTCTTGAGAGAAATCCTTCTCTTTCAAAGGGGAAACGACAAGGACAACAAAGGGGCATTTCCTTTAACGCTTCGACGCAACGAGATCGATGTGTCGCCGATCCCGATCTTGATTACAGTCTTGCCTACGATGAGCAAGGTTTCATGCACATCCTTCACTCAACTTTCTTCGACGTCAATCCAAATATTGACAACACCGTCAAGGAATACGTGGAGCACATTCTAGATACGCTCGTGGAAGCCATAGAGGAGCAACTTGGTACCGTTCAGTGGAGGATTACTTCCAAACCGTGACAAAGGTTCTCCAATCTTCCTAATCTTGTATCTTCGCAGTTTAACTAACTCTTGTTATTTGATTTGAGTCATGAAGATCTTGTTCACCTTCCTCTGCCACGCCAAGTAATCGCAAGAATTGAGTTTGGCCTCTATGCATCTAATCTCATTTTTAGCGGAGGGATTTTGTTTGAAAGCTACTTAATTTGCATGTCATTGATATTCTACATTATTTTGATAAATCAAGCGTTTGGCTAGCGGCTTAGCCTAAACGTAGGCACCCCTCTCTTGTTTTCTTTTGTTGTTTTGGGTTGCTAAAAGTTTTAAACCTAATTATTTTATTCAATAGATCATGAAAATTCTTAACGCATGCAATTAAAACATTTTAGTCCTACATCACTAAGTTTGTCAATTGGCTGGCTTGACTTGATTTTAGTTCAAACCAAAAAATGCAAAGCGAACTTTGATCGAAACTTGATTCAAGCCAAAAAAATTAAAAAAAATCCAATTTTAATCAATTATTGATCTCCTAAGACAATTTCTTAGTGAAATGTACATAAATACACCCAACACATGCATATATAGATTCGTATATGGAAAGGCATAGATGCATACATAAAATAATTCAAATCAAAATGCATCAATAAACATACATGTATATGAATTAATACAAACAAGCATAAATACTTCAACCAGATCTCGACCTAGTTCGATATGATAGAGTCTCAATTTTATTCAAGTTATGTCTGAATCTTTTCAAGCACGTTAACTTCAATTTGAGAATTGGTAAAACGAGATAGCAACATTTCCTTTTTCCAAGAGTAATCTTAATAAGAACAAGAATTTAGAGATTTGGATACTGAGCACAAGAAAGAAGTAAAGAACATATAGTGCCGAAAGGTTAACAATAACAATCAACTTTGATATTATGATATGCCTCAGTTGAGCAAAGACAATGTTACCCAAAATAGTAAATAAAATCTCCTCATTAAATTGGAAAACATACATGGAGGACCAGATTTCTCAATATTCTTTTTCCAAGATGACTTCTATTCTGAAGGCAAAGACACTTGTTGGCTGCTTAAACCAAACATGTTTTATACTGCTTTAATATCAACTCAGCATTTTGTTAAGTCAAGTCAGAACTTAGGCCCACCTGGATTTCTTTCTGATGGAAGCAGATTTAGGAGGCACAAGTGACATGCACATGCAAATATCAGAATGTTATTAGAAAGGGAAATTCTACTATAATTCTACTTTTAGCCACTTAATTAGTTCGCTATGTAACTAGAGCCCCAATTGAATTTCTATTCAACGGTCTCTTGCGCTTTCCTACTGATATCACATACCCCATTGCCTTGTTAGAGGAAAAAAATTCAAAACGGTACGCACAATCTCAAATACGCAGGAAAAGGCACCTGGCCTGTTCTAATGTCATGTCTCCTGCCTCCAACAAAACCCTGCTACTATTCATACATCAAACAATCCCCCTTCTCGTCAGCCCCAAGCCAAACCCTAATCCACTAAGCTAACATCACCACCGCCCCACCCTCTCTCCCAAAAACACACGCGCACCATGAAAGCACTTCATGGAACATGCCAAAAGATAAGCTCTAATGGTCCAAACAAAACAATCAACCCAAAAAAAAAACCAAAAATTAAAGTAAGCAAATCATTCCACGATCGGACCTATTGCCTTAAGGACTACAGAAAAGAGCAGCGAAAATTGACTTTGTTACAAACCCAACCTGAGAAATGTCCATTCTACATGGCCCCCTAAATCTTTGTCTGCAAAATGCAGCAGAAGCGAGATATATAAAGGAGCATATGTTTTTTGGGGAATAATGAGTGATAAATTATAAAGCATGTTGTTAGAAAACGTGACCTAGGAAAAATAACTTACTCCTCTAATCATTGGGGAATGGACCCTTTCTCATAAAAAAATATCATTTAATAAGCAAAAAGAAGCAATTGATTTGCTGAGAGCTCATACGTTCCCACTGCAAATAGAATATCTCATATTAATGTTAGCAACTTTTCAGTGGAAAACCCAGCCACATCTCTTCATTCTCTATATCTCACATTAATGTTAGCATCCACGTCTCTTCATTTCCTGTACTGACTAGATAATAGGTATTTCAAGGATCAGGTATGCCAACCCTTAAAAACATCTTGTTTCCAAATTTATCGATAAAAATTTTAATTGTCAATTAAGATTGATTGGAAACTCAATAATTTTTATTTCACCATAGTTAAAGCCAAAGGTTAAATCAGTTAACTATTTTCCAAGTATGCATAAAAATATGAGAAAACTAATGTGGCGGAAACTTCCATATCCCAAAGAAATACCGGCAATCCAGTGTCCCCGATCAGATTCAATAGCCCAAAAGAATAGCGCACTTAAATTGGCACATGACTCAAAAGGAGAAACTCATGAGGTAATACAATTTACAATCAAGAATAGTGTCTGCTGTCAGCTGTAAATGGCATGACCCATGGATAACAGATACCAATGACTATCACAATAGAAAAAAGAAAAGGTTTATAGAACTTAAAGAGCCTCTGGCACATTCATGCTATTAATATTCATATATATGGAACAGTTTCAGCTCTTTTAACTGCATATGCCAGACTACTGCATGATTTCAATACCTCATAGTCAAGGCTAGCTATTATTCAGTTAGTAACCACTTGGACCACCTAGCAACCATCTTTGGGCTAGTAAGTGCCTAGGGCCAAATATTTGCTTGATTGCCTCCACTAACTTGTCTAGGATAAAACCAATAATAAAAAATATGGTTCCAAAATTGAATTAATAAATGAGAAACATTTTTTTTTCCATTTGCTTTTTCCATTTAAGAGAGAAAATATGCATCCAGAAAAACCAATCTGAGAAAGAGCCTGGTGCAATCCTATAGCATAGTTGAAGAATTTAGAAGATCACATCATAAATAGTCTAAGCAAACAAAAAAGAATGACTTCAGTTTAATCATGACTGCCAAATTCTCCAAATTATAAGTGGGCAAAACTTACATGAAAATTTTGGGACAAGAGTACTACAGTCTCCAACGCATTAAAATATCATAACATCTTTAAAGCTGCACTCAAAGGAAGCAAAATAGGTAGAATCTTGAGAAATGCATGTGCAGCAAAGTGACAAGAAAGGTAAAAGCAAAGCAGATTAAATATCTCTTTGCAATAGTAGATATTACCAAAACCAAACTTAACTTATCGCAGAAACTTCAAGGCCTACAACTTCACAAAGTTTAAGCAGTAACCTGAAAAAAGGGAAATAATAAAAACAAACAAAAGATTCCAAACATTCAGGTAAAAATTTATAAAAGCAATAGTTAATAAGAAGAAAAATAATTCATTCACTGGAAGATGATTTAACTTTCATAATACACTTACAAGCACAATGATTTCAACGCCTGCCCCCACGGTTCTCAAAGCTTGCCTTCCTTGATTTATTTGTGTCGTCTGTTTCTTCAGAGGTTCTATAAAAATGAAGGGAACAATTAATCCATTGCAGAGCTGGTCTCGAGAAAGTGTCATATACATGAAAAAAAAGTCTAAAATACTGACAATTTATGCTTCTTTGCATTATCTTTCTTGATGTTAAGAACTATCTCCATTGCCATATTCTGATGATCCTTTGTCTGTGAGTGCACCTCCAAACCCTCAACTGTTTCACAGTCAATCTTGCATAAGCGGCACCATCCCATGCTTCCGTGCTTCCTCTTCCTTAAATGCTCAAAAGAATCCAGATCACCCTGTAAAGAAACCTGTGTCAAAATTAGCAAAACCACCAGAAATGCCAATGAGAAAACAGGCCATTTCATGGTGATGAAGACAAAATATAGAAGATCAAATATTATACATAAGAAAAGAAAATTGGAAAATACATGAAAAAGGAGAGCAAACCCTCACCTGATCATGAACAGGATAACTATTAGAAAGCCCTGAATCACCAATTGGAATTCGACCATATCCACCAAATCCAATTGACTCACCACCACGAAGCGGACCATGACTGGTTGAATCATTGAACCTTAGATGGCTAGGTAAATTCCGAGCACCATATGGTTCGCCTAGTCTAATATTATTAGCCAAACCATGGCCAACATGTTCAGAAGCACGCAAACGATTGTGGGAGACATCAAAAGCATCTATTTCCTTCCTAAAAATACTAGAATCCATAAGAAAATGCCCTGAGCCATCCGGACGACCTGAAAAATAAGGAAATGAGCATCAGCAAAATAAAATGTAGCCCTCAATAATTTTGAATGTAGCGAGCAAAACATCTACCAGGACTTCTTATAGATGGAAGACTATCAATATGAGGACGACCAAATTCAGGAAAAGGCCTGAGACGCTCAGGAAGGGCTTCGTGCTTCCCACCTAAATCATCATGAAAAACAGGACCCCTTTGTCTATCTGCAATATCCAATGGTCCAAATTCTAAACCTCCACTACTAGGAGGAAATCGGGCACCAGATGGGTGTGGGGCAAATGAGCCGACTGAAGCTCTATCAAATGTCCTAGGTCCTCCATCAGGCCCAAAATGATGTCCCCTGTCTACTGGCCTGCTAGCAGGCCCATATACATTAAATTTATGAGACCCATCACCATCCAAATGACTAGGCCTTGGGAATTGTTTTAAGTCTTCCTCAAATTCCCTGTGATTTGCAATGTTCCGGCCTGAGTCCATTATAGGCCTAAATTTTTCACCCGGTGCTGCTCTCAAACACTCTTCAGGCAATGGAGCAAACCTTTCTCCAGGTGGTGGTCGAAATCTATCATCTGATACACCATGTGAAAATGCTGAATCATGCATGACACCAGCAGGTCCTTTCCCTGACAAACCATTCATTTTCATCATGTTCGGCTGCATAACAGTCTGCTGTCCAAAAGGAACATGTTCACCAGGCAAGGGCCTATGAGACTCAGACTGCCTGCCATCATAATACCCTGGCCCTTCCATCAAGTTAACTGGACCAGATCTACCAGTTCGATCATCATAACCAAATTGAGAACCCCTAGACAGCATCCCGCTTGCTGCTTCAAATGCTCTGGGAGGAGGCCCACCCATGGCTGAACGTGCCAATGGATCAATTGGAGCAGCCACTGGACCAATAGCATTAGGTTGGGGACCATGGCTTTGGCTTCTCACAGGGAATGGATTAATTTCCTCTGCATTTGTTGGTGGAATATTAGAGCCATAAGGTTGCTTTGCTGCTGGTTGTTGAAAAGGGTCTGCCATAGCTGGAGTCTGTACCGGATATGGAAAATTTTCAGAATATCCAGGTGGTCTTAGCTGCCCAGGTGCCATTGGTGGGCCATGTACAGGAATAGGATGGGGAAATGGCTCTTGGAACCTCCTCTCTTGATTAGGTACAGTTTGAGGCATGTTTTGTGGGAACATTCCATCGGGTCCAGAAGGTCTTTGGGACACCATTGCTACATCCATGTTAGGAGTTTGCCCATGCGGAATATTCAGAGGATATCTATCATGACCAAGAACTGGGCCTGCTGGAGATATTCCACGGAGGCCAACTGCCCCTGCTTGCGGTGGAGGAAATTGGGATAGACCTTTATCATAATACCCCGATGGTGGGAATGTTTTTTCATGAGCTTCCAAATCATGATGTTGCCCCTGGGGCATAGGCTGGGCAATCTGAATGCTGCTAGCTGCATTTCCAGAGGTTTGATTTCTGGTACCAGAACCTTGATCTGATTTCTCCATTTGTTTGCTGTTTCCTGGTAGAGGCTGAGCTGCATTAGGGCCATCTAATGTGGAATCAGCTGTGAACCCATCAACCATTGGTTTAGGTTTAGTGTGTTGCTTTCCCTCAATCCTATGATCTTCCTTCACTCCTTCAATAGCTTTAAAAGCATTAGAATCTTCTGTTCCATCCTGGAAATCTGCCGATACCCCACTTAAATGCTTCAGCACCAAACCATCCTTGATCTCCTTTGTTTCTGAATTCTCATTGACATCAATAGGTGTCTCCCCTTCAGCCACGGATTTGGAATCACTATCAGTCTTAGAAATAACAAGTTCAGAGGATCTAGATGTTTCAGATCCAACAGCATTTCCAGTTGATTCTGCCTCCGATTGTTTCACTTGGCCGGCCTTATCTAATTTTGAATCAGCAGGTTTATCAAGCACAGCTGACTTGAAGTCTGATCCAGCCACAGATATTTGGTTAGCATCTATCCCAGAACGAGAGGCAGCAGGAACAAGAGAGCCCTGGCTCCCAGAATGTAATTGAGATTGGTGGATGGATCCATGTTGTCTGGCCAAATGATTATCACTAGGTGAGTGTTGATTCATGCCAGTTTGAATTAGCTTAGCAGGAGAATGTTGAACTTGCTGCAGCAGTGGTTGGGTTGGTACCATAGTCCTGCCTTGGGATGGAGGCTGCATGTATGGCTGGACCTGCGATCTTAAAGAATGCTGAGAGTGTGAAGGTGGTTGCGATGGAAATCCACCTTGCTGGGACATCTGCGCAGATGGAAATTGGCCTGGTGCTTGCTGCTGAGGTAAGGCTTGCTGCTGAGGTAAAGCTTGCTGCTGTGGATGCATTTGCACACCTACTGACTGGTGCATCTGTTGAGCTGGCTGATGGGCCAAGTGCTGAGCTAGTGGCTGCAATGCAGCATTCGGAAATGGACCTTGTCCATGAGGCTGCATAGCAGGGTATTGCTGTGTTTGCAGAGGAATATGAGTCTGTGAGGGCCTCACTTGTTGCGCTTGATGGATGGGGAACTGACTTTGAGAAACTTGTTGAGGAGGTGCACCAGGCTGCTGCGGATTCATAGGCCGTTGATGTGGCACTCCATGAGGTATTTGCTGGAGCGGCTGGGACTGAGGATAAGATTGATGCCCTGTAACCCCATGAAGAGATGGATTCTGAGATTGATGTAGCTGAGCCTGAGCCTGAGGATAAGGCTGCGGTGGAGGCTGGGGCTGAGGTTGAGGCTGAGGCTGAGGCTGGGGTTGGGACTGAGGCTGAAGCTGGGGCTGGGACAAGGGCTGGGGCTGAAGATGTGCCTGAGGCTGGGGTTGAGCGTGGGGAAGAGGACGAGGTTGCTGCATGTGGGGTTGTTGAAATTGAGTCTGGGTCTGATTGTATGACTGTGCCTGAGGCAATGGTACCGGACGTGGCTGACTTTGCATGTTTTGTTGCAGCGGTTGCAGAGGTGGTTGAGGTTGCTGCTGTGCAAGAACAGTCTGTTGATGCTGCTGAGCATGAAGAACTGGCAGCTGAGTCTGGGCATAAGAATGCAGTTGTGAATACTGGGGTTGCCCGGCATGTGCTGGTAGCTGAGTGGTCTGTGTGATTTGTGGCTGTATCTGCTGATGAGGTTGCTGAACAGGAACATGCTGAGCTTGAGGAAACTGGGAATGTGAAAGAAGTTGGGTTTGAATCTGTGGTTGAGGATGAGTATGAGATTGGGGCTGGGGCTGAGGCTGGGGCTGGGGCTGGGGCTGGGGTTGGGACTGAGGCAGGGGAGGGGTCGGGAGCTGAGGCTGGGGCTGGAGCTGCGGCTGAGGAACAGGTTGTTGCTGTGGTTGGAGAAGGGTACCTTGGGCCTGGGATTGTGCTTGAGGTTGTGGTAGAGGCTGAGTATGCGGTTGGGGCAGCACATATGGCTGAGCCTGCTGCTGACCTTGAATTACCTGTTGTGGAGCAACCTGCATATGAGTTTGCGGATACTGCTGATAAGTTTGCTGTTGATATTGGCCATACTGTTGGTATTGCTGCTGATAAGGATCATATCCAGGATACTGCTGATAATATTGTTGATATTGAAGTTGTTGTTGACGGTACCACTGCTCCGCCATAGGAGCTTGCATGCCACCTTGCGGATAAGCGACTGTTAATGGTTGGTTCTGAGTCTGAACAACATTGGCAGCTGAAGCAACGGCAGGAGCATTAGCAGGAGCCGAAACTGATAATGTTGTTCCAGGAGTTGAAGTGGATATGGCTGTTGTCACAACAGCTGTGGAAGAAGTTGTCGTCGTGGAAGCCACAGCAGTGGCAGAGGAATCCTGTGTAACATCTTGGTTTGATGCAGACAATACATGACCCTGACCACTCTCTACTTGTTGTCCTTGAGGCTGCAAACCCTGAATAAAAGCAACAACATTTGTCATAAATACGTGGGAAATGCAAATGAGAAGTAATCAAGGCACTGCAGCAGTGAAGTTACAGAATTCGCTTACAGGGCATGTTTGTGCATGCTCTTGAACTTGACGATGTACAATTTGAGTTCCGCATCTATTGCAGACAACAGGAGAGTTTCCGAAACTACATCCAGCACAGTGATTAATGCAATCAGACAATGTGCCCTGCCACTGGCATCCACTCCTGTGATAAAGACAATAAACTTGTACTTTGCCTATCGTCTCAGCAAGTGTCTTGTTTGATTCTAAGAGAGGCTGCAGAATCCCAAAAGAACTCAATTAGATAAAGCAAATTCTGGTGATATTTCAAGTGCAAAACCAAATTCCATAAAATTACCACTAAAACAGACCTTAGAGTCCGCTTCAGTGACCAGGTAGCCATCATAAGGGCAAGCATGAGTAGTGGCGACAATATAGGCCAAGCAGGGCTTGCAATAGAGATGAGTGCATTGTGACTGAAGTGCTTCATTGGGAAAGATTAGAGTGCGGCAAACAGGACAGAAATATTCACCAGGTAGAGACTGTATATTTAATATACACTCATTGTCAAAGCCCATTTTGGGTTCTAAGCTTAAGCAGAAGCTACCTATACAAGGAGAAAAGCAATCAAACCACTTGCATCATTCATGATAAACTAAAAATAGAAACATTGAACATTATTGTGAAACGCAGAAGCATCAAAGAAATGTAAGAAAAAATAGATAAAGCTAATAAAAATACATGCATCAAAATGTGTACACATCGTTTTCAACCAGTTCAACAACCTAAAGAAAACTGCAATAAGTTTTTATGTAGCAAAGTAGCAAAAACTTTACCATCTAAATTAAGCTCCAGGATAAACAAGAATCAAACGTCTACAATAAATGGGATGTGGAAATTCTTTAATAGGTTCAAGATATTCAAAAGCCTTACAAGGAATTGACTAACAAACAATTAAACTAATAGAGAAATTCTCATCCACCAAGCAAAAAAGGGAGTAACCCAATGGATATTAAGCAAATGTAAACATCAACTTGACAAAACCAACATATCCACATCCATACACCAAAGCCCTTCACATTACAAGTGTAGATGGCAATCCCTGCTAGCAGCACAAGTGGAATAAACAACATATTGTGTTGCGGGCTTAAAACCCTAAACCAGTATGAGTCTATCCAATCTAGGATTTACAATAAACTAAACAAAAGGGCGATGGTGGATTCAACAAGCAGAGCTTTGTATGCCCCCTTGTTCAAGCTTAGAGCCTCACTAAGGCTAGGTTTAGAGCTCAATGACTAAAGAATAATCACTTGTGAGCAAATCCAAAAGTGAGAAAACCAGAGTTTGGTTTATATAAATTTGAGAAAATGTGGCAGGACCGCAGGACAACAATGGCCCAACTCTCATGTTGGGTAAAGCCCTAATCCTTGCATATTGAGAAGTGGTGAGAAGAGTGGCCACATTAATATGAATTGATGGTTACCATTATAATACTATTGAACCAGCTAAATGCTATTATTTTTCTACTGTACATAATAGGGTTAGGTCCATGCGCATCTTTTTAAGTTATCAAAATATGTTTGATCCATTAGAAATGGTTAAAATGAATTTCACTAAGGTGAGTTTAAATATGCTTGATTATCAGCTTAATTCCTTCTAATAAATTCAGGCTTGGTTTTACTATTTATTAACATTCTTACCAGATAAGTTCAGTTCTTACATTTAGTTTTAATTATTATACATGTTTATGTCAAAAAAATTACCAAGATTAAGAAAACAACATTGGCCTAACTCACTAAATTTGCAATAGAAAAAATAATAGCAATATACAGCTATAACGAAGTAAGCGTCAGTCATCAATTCAGATTACCTTAGGGGATCTTTTTGCACTTCAATAAGCTAATACTAAAGCTTAACCGATAACGAATATTAGATCACTGTTGGCATACATCATTTTCATAGCTTCATATAAGCCAATTACTCAAGCAAACTCATATTTGGCATCACTCACAAGTGGAATTCAGAGTCCTTTGAGCTCTATCTTTTCCCATCACCTTCAACACAACCCAAGTGAAGCTCTATGTATTATCATTATTTAAAAAGTCATCATTGTTCTAGTTGAGCTCATTTCACACACTATACAGAATATCCTCATATTGATTTAAGGTTCTAACCCACCATGCAATATGTTATTTACTCTACTTTAGGGGTGTCAATATATGACAAGACTCGAAAAACCTGGCATTGACCCGATCGAAAAATTTTGGGTTCTGGTCAACCCGTTTAGCATACAAGTTGGGTTCGGGCTCAGATATCTGACCCCGTTTTAATTTCAAGATGATTTTGGGTCAACCTGAAAACACGATAATGACCCGAATGTAACCCGATTCATTCATTAATATTAAATGGACTTACGGTTAGGGGAGGCCGCGCCACGCGCATTACATAGTTCTTGCGACTTGCCTTGCATACTTCTCTCTGTGTCCTTGCCCCGTTTCTGTCAGCATTCTCCGAGTTGCAATGGTTGTTGTTGCCTCAAATCCTCAAGAAATTAAGCCCCAAGCATAAACAACAAAATCAAGTCTCCATTTTACCTCTCCTAGTTCGATTTTTCACTTTAGGCTTCGGATTTTGCTGGCATATATCAATGACTTATAACTTTTTTCATATTCGAGATAATGGGCTGATAGGATGATAGCTTGGCAAGCTTTATAGTTTCTAGTTTCCACAAATTTTTTTCATGCTTAAGCTTCTCAAACGGAAAGCAAGATCGTGTTTGTGTGATTCCCAAGCCCTAGGTGATGTCAATCATAAATATCATTGGATAGCCTTTAATTCTTTATGATTTTTATTCATACATGATACATCTGACCTCTCTTAGGTCTTTGAGATAAAGAAGCTCTTGCTCAGGCTCCAGTCAACGTAAACTAATATACGACAAAAGGAAGATTGGCTTTTATTTCAATTCTTGTGGAGAAATTTGATTTATTAGACACCCTTTGATTTGAATCACTGATCAAATTTATTAATAACTATGCTTCTTCAGCGCTTCTCATCCTAGTTTGACGACTGAAATGATTGTTAAAGCCTAAAATTGTATTAGCTTAGATTGAGCACATACAACCAATTTAAGCATATACTAACTGGAAATATTAAAATTCACTGATATTTTCTTAGATGAAAGATTTTTTGGAGGGGCAATTTGAGCATTGCACTTTAAATTTTTTTAGCTCGCAATTTTTAGAAAATTGTGTATGTGATATTAATTGATTCAATCATTCAAAGTTTCTTTTTTTTTTGCAGTTAAAAAATACAATTCAAGACAAATTCAGCAAGGCCTATGGCCTTTTATTGGGAGCAGACCAGCAAATCCTAAATGTTGATTAGCTTATATGTAAAAGTATATTTGTAGACTTTGTATTGGTAATCAGTAGTGTAACTTGTAGTCTTCTACCAATTGTTGAATTGGTTAAATATTTTAGTTTGACATTCAAATTATCCAGCATTTAAATTATTTGGAAGTAAATTATCAATCTATAAAGTATAAATTGCTAAATCTGTTAATTCTTAATTGCATGTTTTTAAAATAAAAGTTAGCAATTTAAGTGGAAGACTCAAGACTTCTAAAAAACATTTTTGTTTGGCATTACGGAAAAAAATTCAAAAAAAAAAGTGTTTATCACACATACAATATCACCTAAATTATAGATAAAAAAACCTTAAAACCAAACAGGTTAGCGTGCCAGATTGGGGTTCGGGAATTCGGTTTGCAAATCGAGTCGGTTCAGGTCAAGGTTGTTGAATACGAATCAATTATAGGTTGGACTGGAACCCGCCCTAAAAACCCATTTAGACACTCCTATTGTACTTGCATTGCTAGTAATGTTCATCATCTATACATGTAATTCGAAGATTCAATGAATGCTTACCAATATAGTGGCTTTTTAATTTGATACTTAAGTACATGTTGAGTATAATGACTCCTTTTAGTTATTCCCTTCTTCAATCAATAGATGAGGATTTCTCTTTCAATTTAAATGTTCTATTAATGGCTTTCTTGTGAGGCTTTTGATAGCCTTCAACCAATTAAAGAATTTATTTCTTATATATCCCTTTCTTGAGAGGCTTTTAACAGCCCATTCAAAAAGTGCTTTATTAGAAGAGGATATTCAACAAAGATGGATGAGATATTTTGCTAAATTATTCCATGAATATTATGAGAATGCAATTGACTTTAGTGACCTTATCACCATAAATGAAAATAAAAATTTTTGTTTTTTATCGGCGTATTAATAAAACTGAAGTTAGAGAGCCTTTAAAAAATATGTGTGGAAAAGTTGTTGGACCTCATGAGCTTAGGAGAAGAAAGAATTTCTTGTTTACTAATTTTTTTAATATTACTTTGAAGACAAAAGATGTCAGATGAGTGGAGAATGCATGTGTTGATTCTTATTTTTAATAACAAGGGAGATGCACAAGATTGTGCAAATTATAGAGGAATTAAGTTAATGTTTCATATGTTAAAATTATGGGAGAGATTTATGGAGCATATGTTGTGGCATGATACTAATGTTTCTCAAAATCAATTTGGATTCATGCCTTTTAGGTCTACTAAGAAAGGTATACATTTATTGAGAGGTTTGATGGAGAAGTATAGAGAGAATAAAGAGGGTACACATATGATATTTATTGATTTAGAGAAAGCATATGATAAAATTCCAAGAAGTGCTATGGAGAGTTCTAGGAAAGAATGGGGTTAAAAATGCTTATATTCAAGTTATTAAGGATATGTATGCAAGTGTTGTTATTTATGTTCAAAGATAAGGTGGTTTAACCAAGTATTTTCCTATTTCAATTGGATTAAATCAAGGATCATCCTTAAGCCCATAACTTTTGCTTTAGTCATGGATGTTCTCACTAAACATTTGCAAGAGGTTGTACACAGGTGTATGCTTTATGCTGATGATATTCTTCTTGTTGATAAGACTAGAGAGGGATTTGAAGGCAATTTTGAATTATGAAGTTTAAACTTAGAGTCTAAAGTTTTCGTTTGAGTAGATCTAAAACTAAACATATAGAGTGTAATTTTAGTAATAATAGTTCTTGCGGGGGGATTGTGACTTTAGGTGATCAAGTCATTAATAAGAGTACACATTTTAGATATCTCGAGTTTATTGCTCAGAGTGATGGTGAAATAAATGGGGATATTATTAGTAAAATTCAAGTTGGATGGTTGAAGTGGAGGAATGCATCAAGCTTGTTGTGTGATAGAAAAGTCCCCCCTCAAACTTAATGGAAAATTCTATAAGATGGAGGTTAGATCTGCAATGCTTTATGGTGCAAAATGTTGGTCATTAAAAGATAAGCATAGTATTAAGTTAAGTGTTGCAAAGATGAGAATGCTCAAGTGGATGAGTGGCTTTACTCTTAGAGACAGGATACGAAATGAGCATATACATGAAAAGGTTAGAGTAGCTCCAGTAAAAGATAAGATTATAGAGAGTCGACTTGGATGGTTTACGCACATAAAACAGTGGCCTTCCAATGACCCGGTTAGGAAAGTAGATGTATTAAATTTGAGTTATGTTAAGAAAGGTAGAGATAGATCTAAAAAAACTTAGTTAGAAAATATTAGAAATGATCTTTTTTATTAGATTTAAATGAAAATTTAACTTTTAACAGGGACAATTAACAAAAAAGGATTCATGTAGCCAACCCCACATAGTGGGATATAGGCTTGTTGTTGTTGTTGTTGTATAAAAAGACCCAACTTTGATCCAATCCCATATGTACTTGAAATCAAATCGATCGATATGAAGTCTACTTAAAATCATATTGTGCATCAAGCATCATCAATTTCAAGTAGCCTCTAATCAAAATAATTCTACTTCGAGGTATCTAGTTTTGATTTCAAGCCACCTCGAAATTAAGATTATTTGTGAATATATATATATATATATATATAATTTCATGAAATTTTTAAAATAAAAATTATAGATGTACAATTCTCTATTATCACACTTCCATTATTAAATGAAAAAAAAAGAATACTGAAATAAGTATTTAAATAAGTCGAAGTACAAATTATTTTTCCAGTCAGATTACAAAAATCCAAACTTAGAAAAAGGGCAGAGATCACAATGTTGAAAGAGACACCAATGCATCATACATGTCATGAAATAAAAAAACTCTAAAACCAAATAAATGTGTGTGTTGGCATGTCTACCTTGCATTCCTGTAGTTATTTGATAAAATATATTTTAACCCAAAAAAATGATAAAAACAACATGAACAATCATGTAAAACAGTTATTTCATTTAGATAGATGCACATAAAATCAGTAATTTCATTCAGCTAGCACATAAACTATCAATGAGATAGTGAGATAGATGCACATGCGTGAGAAGAATTTGTAAATAGGCTAAAATTTTTCTGAGAAAAGGTCGAAAACGTTCTCACCCGCCTAAACAGCCTTTCTTCAAAACTACGGTCAGATATCGGTCTCGAATAATAACATGGTTATAGGAGGCGAAGGCAATTAGGGTTTATGAGAGAGAACAGGAGAAGGAAGGATAAATCATTGAAGAAGTCCAGTTATGAGGCCTTGAGGTTGAACCGTCGAGTTATGAGGTCTTGTGAGAAATCAGAGAACAGGTGCAGCGAAGAAACGGGAGCAGTTAGTTCTTCCGGGGTACAATATGCTTAGTCTGTTTGGTGGGGCTTACCGATAAGAAGCCGAAAACCGATGGAGTTGAAGGGCTTTTCCCGGTCTCTCAACAAGAAGAAGAGGCAAGAGGCCACTCACTCACTCAGGCGACAGCAGCGAGGAAAGAAAATGCGAAGCGGCTTGGTTAGGGTTAGGGTTAGGGATTGGAAGAGAGCTTTAATAGGATAAGAGCTTAGGATTTCAATCTAGCCGTCCATCGGAAGAAATATATAGTTGAATTCATTTACATCCATAATTTTTTTTTTTATAAAAAATTATCTCACAAATTATATTTGAGATAAGATGAGATAATATAAATTTTAAATTTATATGCCTCATAATTAATATATTTAATTAATCATATACATCAATTATATATTTATTTAGAAAAATATACTCTAAAGCTTATTAAACTCATTGAAATTGAAAATTTTAAGTCATGATCTCTCATAGCCTACGAGCAGTAACATTCTAACTCCTTCCATTTAAGATTTCCATCTACATCATGATAAGAAGGCCAAGATGATGAATTTAAATAATCCTAATTTGACACTCATGAGTTAGTTCTTTTATCTTGGATTTTGGGTTTAGCGTGCATTTTAAGTGATTGTTCATATACTTTATATTATATTTGATCAAGAGAATTGAAGACATTTTGCTAGGGATTGAATACAAAACAAGATAAGAAAGTTGAAGAGATAGGTTCAAAATAAGGTTCAACCAACATTCGAAAAAGATTTGAATTTTGTTCGAACATCATTCAAACCAATTTCGAATATTGCTCAAAACTCATTTGAAAAATGTGTGAGAAATCTTCGGATCATGCAATATAATATTAGTTTAATCTGATAATACAATGACACTTGTTGCGTCCTGGAGTATTCACGACGGTAGAGAAATATATAGTTTAACGTCTTAGCATTATACGAAGATCGAGCACACAATCAGATAAGTGAGAGGGTGTAGCGTTCATAAGAGACACCATAATTTTTACGTGGAAAACTCCTAAAAAGGGAGAAAAACCACGGGGCCTGGCCCAGTTTGAATGAATCCACTAATATTTGTAGTTGATTACAAATGAGGCCTTCTTAAGGAGAAGGCCTTGGATTGATGTCACAAATGTACATCATATAAAGTGTATCACATGGTGGGAGTTACAATAGATGTATTTGTTTTATCAGCCCGACCATAGTCGATAGAATGGAGGTCGGAAAGATCGTTGTCTGGTGATGGAGGTCGGAAGGACCATAGTAGGCGACGGAGGTCGGGAGGACTGTAGTCGGCAGGAGACCAGGGTCTGAAAGACCGTTGTAGTAGGGCGATACTCTAGTAGAACTCTAGGCGTCAGGTAGTGGCCCAGTACAAGTCCGGGCCTCAGGTGGTGTCCTGGTTGAGCACAGGGTCTCAAGTGGTTGTTCGACGGAGCAACGACGTCAGGCGGTGGTCCGACGGAGGTGAGGGCCTTCGGCGGTGGTCCGACGAAGGTGAGGGCCTCTGGCAAAGGTGAGGGCCTCTAGCGAAGGTGAGGGCCTCTGGCAAAGGTGAGAGCCTCTGGTGAAGGTGAGGGCCTTAGGTGTTGGTGAGGGCCTTTGGTGAAGGTGAGGGTCTCATGTGTTGGTAAGGGCCTTTGGTGAAGGTGAGGGCCTCTAGCGAAGGTGAGGGCCTAAGGTGGTGGTCCAACGAGGCTCCGGCGGTGGTCCGGCGAGGCTTCGGCGGTGGTCCGGCCAGGGTGAGGGCCTCATGTGATGGTCCGGCGAAGTTCCGGTGGTGGTTCGGCGAGGCTCCGGCGGTGGTCCGGCAAGGCTCATGCGGTGGTCCGGCGAGGTTCCGACGGTGGTCCAGGAGGAGCTTCTTCCTTCTCTTCTTGGTGGTCTTGCATAGCTCCTGCGGTGGTCCGGTGAGGTTTCGGCGGTGGTCCGGTGAGGGTGAGGGCCTCATGTGGTGGTCCGGCGAAGCTCCGATGGTGGTTCGGCGAGGCTTCGGCGGTGTTCCGGCAAGGCTCCTGCGATGGTCTGGCGAGGATCCGGCGGTGGTCCAGGAGGAGCTTCTTCCTTCTCTTCTTCCTTCTCTTCTCCTCTTCTCTTCTTGCTTGGCCCCCTTTCAAGAGAAATGAGGGGTCTATTTATAAATTTTTTGGAGTGGCATGGCCTGTAAATAGGTGAGAGATCAGGGGCAAATGTGGAGTGGTTCAATGGACGGCCGATATTGAATCCCTTGATCATAGACCGTTCGTTAGACATTTGAAGGTCTTAATGGTGTCAGAATTCAGCGATTTTGGGCTCGTTGGATTCACCTCGTCGAGCCGCTCGATTTGACTATAAGCTTGTTATGTTTGAAAACTGTTTGGTAACCCAAATTGTGGTTTGAACCTTCCATCAGCGCTTCAGGTCCTTGATTTGTACTCATTTGGGCTTAGATTAAGTCGAATTTGGTGTCGTTGGGTTCGTATTTCCAAGACGCTCAGTTCGACTATAAGTTTGCTGAAATCAGAGTTGAGATGGTCTCCGAATTAATTTTTGAAGTTTCCAACTTGATTTTGCATCAGATTCGCGCCCAATCAAGATAATTTTTTGACGACGTATCAACACTTATTGTTTGTTATTATATAACAAATTGTATCCAAATGTCTTATCATTTATGCTTTAATAAACAAGAGTTATTTATTGGATTTGAGTCATCGAAAATACTCATTATACAACCTTTTTCAAAGATATGTTCAACTAAGTTGTTTAGTAAACATTATCATAAGAGCATATAGTTTAACATTAGTATTGTATTTGTTATTTAAGTTCATGTTCTAGTTTTATTTGTACTTCCATTGTAATTGGAAATTTTTATTGATGAAGTTGTTTTTAGTTGTTTTTTTAAGAATTAACTATTATTTTGCTCCATTTCCAATGAAATAAAATATTATTAACTTTCTTGCGATGAACTGCCAATCAATTTATAATACAACTTATATGAAATAAAATATTATCTGTTTTTCATCACATGTTTTAGTAAAGCTGCTTGTTGGAGACTGTTTGGTTCCTTTTTTCGAATAGTATTAAGTTAATTTTTCCCTTATGGATCAAGATATTATAGCAATTCAATAACTTTTGAGTGTAGAACCATTTGCTAATAAGATTGTTATTTAAGGTAGAAAATTAATTTGCTTATTTTTAAAATAGATTTTGATTTAGAAAAAAAATTATCCTTGCAACTTTAACATTTCATTATTCAGTAAGTGATGTTTTAGGTGATAGTTGGATAAATTAAAAATTGAAGTAGGTCAAGTAGCAACCAATGAACCAAGAATCAATGTCAACTAGACTTTGATAAATCTAAGGCTAATGTCAAGTAGATTGATGTTGAAAGTGCCACAACTCTTAGATTCTTTTTTTTTTTTTTTTCCTTTTTGGAAAAGTGAGGGACTGGCCATTTCCATTAATGTAAAAAGAATGTTACAAAATATATTAACAGCTCAATTGAGATAAAAAAAATCATAAAAGGGAAAGAGGAAAGCATGCCCTTTAAATAGAAGAGATAACAACAACAACAACATCGCCTTTGTCCCACTACTTGGGGTCGGCTACATGAATTCTTTTTCACCATTGTATCATGTTAAAAGTCAAATTCTCATTTAAATCTAATAAAGAAAGATCATTTCTAATATTCAAACAACAACGAAAAGAACCCATATTTCTAAATTTAATATCATTTATTGCCAAAACATTCGGTTTCTTGAGCAGAAAAAGAGACAAGCCAAGGGGTGAGGATGGGCAGACAAAAAACCGATCCTCATTATCCAATCAAAAAAGATATCTGAAGTAAAATCATGGTTGCAAAAAATATAGAACATCCTAGCCATAAGAAACACCCCAACTACTATGAACAACCTACCCACAATTAAAGGAAGAAAGAAAGAATGTCCTGCCAACATTTCTATCTACATATTTTTAAACAAGTAGCCTTCATAATCTCCCTATTGATATAAGCTAGATAGTGAATATTATCCCCAATATTTCTTCCGTTATGTTCCTTTCATATGATATAAAGAAAAACAAACACGAGCAAGACCTAACCATTCTTAACCTCCTCATGTAAGTAGTCACAACATACAATGTAATCTAAATTTTGACAAAGATTAAGCTATGACAGAAAATAAGAGAAGAATGGCAGAATGCTACAAATTATCTGAAAGAAAAAAATAACATTCAACAAAAAGATGTCTAACATTTTCCAAAGATGACTATCATAGAACACAGGTTGGATGCAATGAAATGTTAAACTTATTTAACACATCTTATGTTTTAAGATAGCAACATATAGCAAGCCAACCAAAAATAAACAATATGATTGCTTAATGCTTATGCCAAACTTGCTTAGCCCAAGAAGGAGGGGGTAGTTAGAATACAAGGAGAGAATAAGATATTTAATTTTTGGTTTGGCCTTTTGTTTCCACAAAATACAAGGATTACCATCAAAGATAATGCAAAGAGACAAAATAGTCATCATGGTGCTCACAAAAAAGAAAGGACCTGAACCCCATTAAAAATGTAATCATCCACAATATCATCATGCTTCAACAAGTGAAGAATATAAGAAACATTTATCAAATCAACCAAGGGCCTCTAATTAATCCAGGGATCCCAAATAAAAGAATAATTACACATGCTCGAAATGTTAATATGTAAGTCCTGCCTCATATTTCCCAAAGTAAGCTTGAGAGCTTTGCACCAATAAGAAGTGGTATTGTTCAAATTTTTTCAAAAAGTTGTACATTTCCTTTTCCAGAAGTTAACACCCTCCATATAAAGAAACATTGATAAGCAAAATGAGATCTTGAAGGTAGGGAATGCCAAGGGCCCCAAGCAATAGTGGTTTACAGGCATCTTTCCTAGCATTAAGATCTAAAATTCTAGTTGAAAGGTCCCCATGAAATAGAAAACCAGCACAAAGCTTATTTAGTTATTCAATACAAGCTTTAGGCAAAATAGCATCTTTAATCAAATAAGCAATTGTGTTTGAAGTAAAGAACTTAGAATTGTAGTTGACCAACAAGGGAAAGAGCTTTGCATTTCCACCCATCAAGCAATGAGTGAACTTTGGTCATTAAGCTTTGGAAATTTGAAATGTGAAGTTTTTTGGAAGAAATAGGAACACCTAAATATTTAAGAGAGTCATCAACTCTTGGTAGATCAAGAATCTA